GTTACATTTATTAATAAAAGTCATGATGATAAACTGTGATGGGCATCTTACGGAAACTCTTTTTGATGCCAGTAGGTAGCGACAAGTGATTATCTTTATGAATGAGTCATTGAATAATTCACTAAACCAATTGCAATGCAAAATGTCATGATATTAAGTAGTATATAATTAAGTACAAAGTAATCTGGGTACTTTTTTCGTGCTGTTCTATAAATACTGTTATTTTGCTTATACTACTCTTTTCACATACTGTTTTTGCAACATAGGCTCATTCGAAATACGTGCCTCTAAATACATTTCTGCAAAACTGAAAAAAACGTACCTATACATACGAATCGCTGCAGTTTCAAGTTGAAATTAACACTAGAGGCAGTAAAACTCCAACAACTTTTATTCCTTTTCACACAAAGTATGATTTACAGGTCCACAATTTCGATTAATTAAACCAAATTTTCGCACAATTACTAGAGGAATATTATGTTATATATTCAAAACAGTTTTAACATGCTGTGAGATCTCAAAAATGATACTTTAGAATGTTAGCATCACATATCCAGTTTCATATGTGTGTTTTCATATTCAGTAGGTTTGTTCGGTAACTCACGCAGTATCATTTTGCACTTGAGTGGTGAAGAGCTTCGGTACGAATCCCGTGAAACTATGCTTCGACAAAACAGTTCAAACCTGCATGTAAGGAAGTTCAAATGGCACGGTTGCATCAACAAATGCATTTTTAGATCAGTTTTGCATTTGTTAACACTATCGGGTAGGTTTAAGGTTGGGTGGGTTTGGTGTTGGGGATATTTCCAACACGATAGATCATTAACTTTTAGCGACACACCCTGGATATTTGAATTATGAACCGCCGCAATACGTACCTGAAGCAACGTAATAAAAACACAGCAATGCATGCCTATTATATCAACGTAAAAAAAAACGTGACAGGGTCACGTATTGAACCCGTGTTTTAGCGCCACTCACTGGACATTTCACTTTTAAACTGCCGCAAAACGTGCAGTAAGGTATGCAATAACGGTGTTGCAGAAATGTATTTAGAGGCATGTATTTCGAATGAGCCTGGGTTGGTTTTTCGCCTACTATATAGTTAGGGCTGGGCGATATAGCTAAAAAATGTATCAGCGACATAATGTTTCATATCGTTCGGTATTGATAATTATTGACATTTTTTATAACCTTTTTTAAAACAAAGAGCAATAGAATTTTTTTTTTACATGTAACCACTGTATTTTTAAATTAACTAAATTTATTGAGACAAACAACAAATATTTTTTTTGTTGTAACAGTCAAAAACAAAAGTAAAATTAAACAAATAACTCATTTCTAATGTTTTATATGCAGATTAAATAGGTTAAACTTTTGGCTTGTCTCCCGAGGCCACAGGAGGGTGCAATGAGAAAAATAATGCAGCACATTAAATTGTCAACGCAAGGAAGTAATTGTCTATAAAACATGTGCATTACGTCTAAATTAACTCATATAAATCAAATATAATTTCGTAAATTGCATAAACAATTATGAACAAAACAGCATCACGTATTTATGCATTGCTTAATACAAAGAGCCGAATCGCCCATCACACAGATTGCCTTTAAAAACATGAGACGCAGTGAAAAGGAATAAACCTCCACAAATTTGCGACGTGTTTTCTAAAAGTTTAAACTCTTAACTTTGCATGGCTGTCTACATCTCTTCTGTGAGACACGAGTGCAGCAGTCGTATTTGTCTGTCTAGAAAATGCGCTGAATATGCATTCTGTGTGAATGGCATGGTTTCGGTTTTAAACTAATCAAGATCTCCGCATTGAGCTTCTATATTTCTATAATATTTTGAATGAATAAAGCAGCAACTGCGGGTCTCATGGGCTAGACTAACAAAACATTAAACTACAACATCACTTACATCATCATAACCGCATCTCGTGCTCTTCTGATGACGCTCCCTGACGCACTCCTAACATTGGATTGTACTATTTTTGCATTCAAATGCTAATGTTTATTTTAAATTCGACTAATATTCATTCTTTACTCACAATCACTCGTAGCACGTGTCTATATCGTGCACTATATCAAACATTTTTTATATCGTTATCGAAGAAGGTGTACTGTCAATAAATATTGATACCGTTTTATCGCCCAGACCTATATATAGTAGGGAAGTATGCATGTTCAGATGCAGCCAAGTATCTGACTTCATGAGTGAGTTATTGAATGGTCCACTCAACTGGTTTGTTCAAAACACCACTACTGTGTGTTTTTTTAAGACATGCCATGGTTGGTTATTCTCTGGCTTCGTTTGAAATTATTTTCATAATCTGAGCAAAAAATTGACAAAGTAACTGGCAATATTGTGTCTAAAATAGAAGTTACTCAATCTTAACCTCTTGTTTGTGTACCAGTGGTTGAACTCAAATGCAATATTTTTGTGGAAAACTCCTGTTTTAGTGTTGCTTACACAGGGTAGAGAGAGAGACTTACAGGGTAAGCGTCTCTGCTCTTAGAAGGCACTGGAAAGTCAAATGCATCTTTATTATATTTACACCCTGGAAAAAGGTTCTGGTTACCTAAATGTGTGTCCGTACACTTCATATAGGCTAGGCTATACTCGACACCCCTGCACCTCTGTCAGTTTGTTTTCCCAGCACAGATATAGTCCTGTGGAGTGTATTTGAGGAGATAATGACATTAACTGTGCTAAAAACGTTCCAGTGTATATGAGAAGGTCTCGGTTGCATCACTAATATGAGGCAGGTCATGGGGACAGTAGCTCAGTGTTGATTGTACACATACTTAAGTCTGAAAGGCAATCCTGTGTTGACTGGAAATGCATAACTGATGTTTGGAGTCACTAATAAGATTAGTGGCATGGATATGTATCATGTGTTAATGTGTGTTTATGTATGCCTGTGTTTTTACAGTGGTTGGTTTGATGGGGGAGAGTACTGTACTTCAGGTAGACTTAAATATAGTGTGAGTGAGTTCACTGAGAGCCTCAATGTGTGCGTAAGACTGACAATGCTTGTCAATCATTTGGTGTCAAGAAGCCTTGAGCCCAGTACAGGAAAACTGTATTTATGTTGGGTTGGGAGAGAAACGTGTTTGAACACAAATTAATAATTCATTTTCCCAAGAGGGTAAAGTTGCTTCTTTAATCCATTTCTCAAACCCTCCCACAGGGAAGGACTCTAAGTGTAATCTCACAAGTCTCTCCTCTAGAGTTCCAAATGAGGGCTCAATAATTTCTCAACTTATGCTCAGATTTATGAAGACACTAAAGTCTGCAGTTAAAAGTTTTGAATATGTTACACACATTAATTTATAGGTCTATGCTGTTACTGCACGTCAACAGTTTACTTCATTTAAAATTACATAAAAATGTTCAGTTTAGAATAGTGTTATTTTAGTATCAGAGAGATAATATAATAGTTTTTATTAATATTTTTTTATGTTAATGTAAATGAAAATGAGACATTTTATTTTATTTCTTTATTTTATTTCAAGTAAAAAATTAAAGTCTGGTTCAGACATACAATGACTGAAATACACCTCTTATGTAATGTTATGCATCATATTTGAATTAAAATATTTTAAGATATTTGGGGGACAAAAAGTAAATAATATCAGGGTGATGCAGCTATCCTAATATGAAGACAAAAAAAGGTGCTCATTAAATGAAGAATGTTTTTGAAAAAAAGTAGTTAGGCATAATCTTTATTATTATTCCTAAAAAAACTATGAAAGAATTTTGTTAAAATTTTAAAATAAATCTTAAAAAAAAAAAAAAAAAAAACGTTGCCTGCCAAATCAAGTGCTATTATAGAAAGTACTTTTGCAAATACCTTTAAGAACCTTTTTGAAAACAATTACCACATTTTAAGAGTCATTCCGTTTTTTTTTTAAATGGTATACAAGTTTTCAAAACCAAATGCAACCTACCTGTACATGAATACAAAGATCAAATTTCTAAGAACTTGACACGTGTTTTAAAACAGATTTTATAAAGATTTGTTTTCTTCATTTCCTTGGACTCTCTCATGTGTCATTCACCAAATTTGTGTCTGTTGTAATTTCTCCTAAGGAATCTTATGAGCAACATCTTCAAATACAGTGTTAAATGTAGAGCTCGGCCTCCCTCTGTCCCTCGAGACATAAACACACACCACTTTTCCCAGAACTCATTGAATGTAGGATTCATGGTTCTTGAGTTGCTGTCTCTGAGGAGTTTCCACCCTCCTCACATGGCTGAGAGGCCCAGGACTGCTAAATCAAGCCTTTCATACCCACCAGAGGACAGAAATGGCCTTGTTGCCAAGTAATTGCTCGTCTGTAGTCCAGTCGCTAAAGGTTTTCGAAAAAAACTATGTTTAGAATGGGATGTAATTATGAGACAGCGGAAAAATATGATTAGGTTAGGGTGTTTCATGTACAGTAAATGGTGAAATTCTTGCGGTTGCAAGCGTCTTACTGGTTCTTATCTGTTTTAATGGTTTTTTGAGTACTAATTACAGGCTGTTATCTGCCAGAATAAGCAGTGAATCATGCTGCTTATTGAGGGCGAATGTACGTCATAAGAACATGTCATTTAAAACCTAAAGACACTACAGGTGAACATGGTGTAAGATAGATATCACTATACTTTCACTGGTTCATTCATCACAGTACATTAAGACAAGTGGTTTGCAAGTTTTCTGAAATGTTATGGTCCAATTAACTAATTAAATACGCACTAATTTGCATAAATTTATAGAACAGAAGTATGAACAGTGGAAAAATCTTAGTGTCTTGCCATAGGTTTAAACAGTGTCTTGCCATAGGTTTATTTGTTTCTTAGTTTTTGTTTAAGAGCTCATTGAAAGTCATTGAAAGTTCTCAGTCATCCCAGTTTTCCCCAGCTTTCCGCAAAGTGTCCACTTGTTGCACACTTCAGAATCTGAATTTTTTTGTTTCTCTTTCAAAATCTTTTTTTTTTTTTTTTCTCTTCAGACTCGCAAACTGACCAAAGTGGAGCGCCAGCGCTTCAGCGAAGAGGTTGAGATGCTCAAGGGTCTTCAGCACCCAAACATTGTGCGCTTTTACGACTCCTGGAAGTCCACTGTGAAAGGTCACAAGTGCATCCTTCTGGTCACTGAGCTCATGACCTCTGGCACCCTCAAAACGTGAGTTTGTCCTGCATCTCAGAATCACATAGATCACATTAAAGGGATACCAATAAAGATATTATTTAAAGGGGTGGTTGATTATGATTTCACTTTTTGAACTTTAGTTAGTGTGTATTGTTGCTGTTAGAGCATAAACAACGTCTGCAAAGTTACGACGCTCAGAGTTCAATGCAAAGGGAGATATTTTCTTTTAAAGAAATTGCTGTTTAAAGACTACAAAAAACGGCTGGTAGGGACTACAACGAGCTTCTTCCTGGGTTTGTGACATCACTAACCCCGATTTTTGCATAAACCCCACCCCCGGGAACATGCAAATACCCGTAATGGTAAGGGGGCGTGACAATTCTGGACAACGTGCACTCGGCGGTTAGCAAATCACAAACACACTGAGCCCGCTAACCAATCAGAGCCCATTGCGTATTTCTGAGGGAGGGGCTTCACAGAACCAGGAACTCAACAGACCGTTTTGACAAGAATGGAAACAGCGGTGTAGAATAAAGGTAAAATATGTGAAAATAATGCGTTTCTTAAAAAACGAAGCTTGAACTCATGTTACACTGCACCCCATACACACAATCAAGCTTTCAAAAAAAGCTGATCAACCACCCCTTTAAAATAGAGTTTCAGGTCCCATTGACTTCCATAGTATTTTTAGTCCATACTATGGAAGTCAGTGGGACCCGAAACCGTTTGCTTACCAACATTCTTTATTATATTCCACAGAAGATCGAAAGTCATACAAGTTTGGAATGGCATGAGGGTGATAAATGATAACAGAATGTTAATTTTTGGGTTGACTGTCCCTTTAATTGTCCCTTTTTTGGTGCTGAGGTGAAAAGGATTTTAACATCCCAATTTCTTAGGTATCTAAAGCGTTTCAAAGAGATGAAACCAAAGCTCCTACAGAGGTGGAGTCGTCAGATCCTTAAAGGACTTCACTTCCTGCACACGCGCACCCCTCCCATCATTCACAGGGACTTGAAATGTGACAATATCTTCATCACGGGCCCCACAGGAAGTGTGAAGATCGGGGACCTTGGACTGGCCACACTCAAGAGGGCAAGCTTTGCCAAGAGCGTAATAGGTAGGTCATTGCAAACTCCTGAAGCGTTTCATGCTTTAGTTTCTCAGTAATGATTTATCTTAGATCCGCTGAGATCTTCAACCTCATTGCATTTCAAGTTTAAAATGAAACGTTCAATTTTACTTTTGAAATGTTCACCTTTAGCCACTAGGTAGCTTACAACGTAATACCATCAAGAGGATAATACCATGGTGTGACAGTTCTTTCCTGATCCTGAAATAAAGTGTATTATTAAACCATTATAAAATGTACCGTTTTGGTAGTGACATCTAAGAGAATTCTTCACATTGTGTTTAACAGGAACACCAGAGTTCATGGCTCCAGAAATGTATGAAGAGAAGTACGACGAGGCAGTGGACGTCTATGCATTTGGCATGTGCATCTTGGAGATGACCACGTCAGAATACCCTTACTCTGAGTGCCAAAACGCTGCGCAGATTTACCGCAAAGTTACCAGTGTGAGTTTCAATCATTATCATTTAGTGTGATTAATTACTCTTTAAGTTAATGATTTGGGTCAGTACGATTTTTGTAAAAATGGTTTTATGCAGCAAGGAACCATTCAATTGACCAAAAGTGAGAGTAAAGACATTTATAATGTTTCAAAAAGGTGTATTTAAGTCATTCTATGTTGGAAAACTAAAATTATTTTTATTACTTTAAATAAAATAAAGGTTAATTGAAATAAAAAAAAAACCTATGAAAACCTTGAACATATTTTATTTTACCTAGCTGCTAAAGAAACATTTATCATTTTTATTTAATCTAACTTGATGTACTAAAATAAATAAAACTGAAATGAAAATTAATAAAATATATAGTGATATAATAAAATATATAGACATTTTTAATAATAAAAGTGACAAAAACATGGAACAAAAGTACTAAAACTTACTCAAATTAAGATGAAAGTGGGGGAAAAACTAACTTAAACTCAAAATACTAAAATAACACTGCAAAAGATCTATATTTAAAAAAAAAATGCTGTTCTTTTGAACTTTTTGTATTCATAAAAGAATCCTGACAAAAAATGATCTAGGTTTTCCAAAAAATATTGTGCAGCACAACTGTTTTCAACATTGATAATAATCAGAAATGTTTTTTGAGCAGCAAATCAGCATATTAGAATGATTTCTGAAGATCATGTGACACTGAAGACTGAAGTAATGACGCTGAAAATTGACATCACAGGAATAAATTACATTTTACTATATATTCACATAGAAAAGTTTGTTTAATGTTAAAAAATATTTCACAGAAATATTTCATATTATATATTTTTACTGTGTTTTTGATCAAATAAATGCAGCCTTGGCGAGCATAAGAGACTTCTTTCAAATACAAAATCTGTGAGATTGCTTGAAAATATGTTTAATTGTTGTGCATATATTTTGCAATAAGCATATGCACGTCCATATTTCCTAGTTTATTCCAGCACTGAGACCTTTAGCCCAGCATGGAAAGTGTCATAAACATCTTTTCTCTTCTTTCATTCTCTTCCTGCATGTCCTCCTTTCCTCTCATTTCCTTAAGAGCTTGCTGTGAGTCCACTTTGAGCAGAGGTTTAAGACTCACGGCTTGGGTTTGATTAGAACTTATGGCTCTAAAATAGTTTGAAATACCCCCTGTCTGTATCCTGTTTTTAAAAAACCCAGGGCTCGTCTCATTCTGGATAATTTGAGAAAGGCCCTACAGGTCACATGTACACAGAGAGGTCATTCTGATTTTGCAGCTTGTTAGGGATACAGTATATTCACTTGTCTGCTCCTTATTGCATTTGGAAACTTACATCAGCATGTGTTTACAACATCTTCAGACAGATCTCTTGAATGTAAATCAGTCTTGAACATGTTTTTTTATACATGAAAGAGTGTTCCTAACAAATGCTAAAAGAAAACATTTATTTTTACTCACAGTAATAACTTTGCAGTGGATTGAGATGTTGTACGACATGAAGTACAACCAACTTCAACAGGATTTCAGTAATGTTTTGATTTTGCATGTCAGAAAACAAGTTTATGATGTTTTTAAAGTAATAGCTAAATTTGACACGCACTTTATGTGGATGACGCCAGTGGTTTTGGTTTATTGGTTTGTTAAATGACGTGTCTTGAATGAACGAAACAAAGCCTGCTCTGAAAAGGTTGCTGAGTGTTAATGACAAAGCCAAGGAGCGCGAGTGTAAACGGGATGGGCGGTCGTCCAAAACTCCCATGAACTCGATGCTTTATGGAGCTCATGCTCCACAAATGTTACACAAGTCTACAGGGAAAGTGACCTACTCCAGCTGTAATTCAGTCCTCAGCTGTAATTCTTTGAAATCACAGTTTAACCTCACATGATTGAAGAATTTTGTATAGTCGAAGTAAGTCAAATGTGACAAATAACAGGCGTTAACTGTTGTAGATCTTAATATGATAGATCAGCATTAAACCAAGCACATGCAAGTGTTGTAAATTGTATTTTAGAATACTACAGTGTAAAATTAATAATGTTACGTTGCTTTATTAAATGTTTAAGTGGGTTCAAGGTATAATATATATATATAAAAAGGTAATTGTGACTTTTTATCTCACAATTCAGTTTATGTCTCACAATTCAGAATTTTTTTCTCTGAAATGTGTAAATGAAAAAGTGTAAATTGTGAGATATAAACTTGCAATTGCGAGGAAAAAAACTGAATTGTGAGATAAATTTGGAATTGGTAGGAAAAAAGTCTGAATTGTAAGATATAAACTCAGAATTGTGAGAAGAAAACTCAGAATTGTGAGATATAAATTTGGAATTGCAAGGGGAAAGAAGTCAGAATTGTGAGATGTAAGTTAGGAAATGTACAGAAAAAAATGAGAATTGTGAGATATAAACTCACAATTGTGAGAAAATAGTCAGAATCGTGAGATATAAACTCACAACTGTGTGAAAAAAGTCAGAATCGTGTAGGGATGCACGATATTGGATTTTTTCCGATATGCTGATAATTTTCAACTAATTTTGGCCGTTATCGATATGTAATTATTTTAAATTTTGGTTAGTTTTTAAAAAAAAATTATTTGTTAGAATTAAATAAACAATAATAGTCCTTTTATAATGACAGTACATTGAAGATTTGAAAATAACTATAAATAAACTATATATTAATCACTGCATTTTTTTTTTCAGAAAGATGCAGTGGTAACCTTAACATTTTATTTTATGATTTAACATTTGTAGATGGTCTAAAGCAAAAGAGTTGTAAAAATTCTGAAAATCTTTTAGAGCTCATAATTTGTTTATTTATTCCTCTTATCGGCAAGACATATTGGCATAATTTTTCATATTGGGCCACGTGAGATATAAACTCACAATTGCGAGAAAAAAAAATCACAATTGTGAGATATAAATTTGGAATTGCAAGGAAAAATACTGAGAATTGTGAGATATAAACTCGGAATTGTGAGAAAGTCAGAATTCTGAGGTCATATCTCGCAATTCTCAAATCATATCTTGAGTTTTTTTCTCAGAATTACAAGAAAAAAAAGTCAGAATTGTGAGATAAAAAGTCGCAATTACCTATTTTATTTTTTCAACAACACAAAATACTTTTTTTATATAAAAAATGTTATATAAAAATGTATATAAAAATAAACAAACTCCCATAGCTTTAGGGTTGTGTGCTTTGCTCAATGGCAGTGTCAGTAACAAATCAACAGTGAATTGGTGCAAAGTAATTTTTTCAAAACATCCAGGCAAGCTTTGAAACCTCGCTCTCGTGTAACTGGCTGTGATTAGATTATCTGAAAGGGAATAATCTAATTTACATTTGAACATCAGATTGATGAGTGACATATTAAAACATTTTTAGCCTCTTTGACTGATGTTTGTCTCAGACTTTGACATTTGTGTCCACTTCTGCTGTTTTCAGGGTATAAAGCCCGACAGTTTCTACAAAGTGAAAGTTCCAGAGTTAAAGGAAATCATTGAAGGCTGTATCCGCATGAACAAAGATGAAAGGTACTTTATTGATTTTACTGTTTGATTTTCCACTTTGAAAGTGTTCTTTAAAACATTCTTGTGCAGAAGCATTCATTTTATATATTTACCAGTTATTATTATGCAGCATTGTTCTACAAAGTGAAATTGCTTAGGATTCTGCAAAATATCAGCAACAAAGATGCTACAGAGATTGTTTTTATTTAAAAAAATCATCCTAAATGATAAATAATAATATATCCTCAATGTTAAATATGCATCTACTTCACTTTCCAGCAACTTGGGAAACCTTGTAGCTTTGCCTATGAAATTATATTTTTTGTTTTGAGCTAACTATGTGATGATCATTACGTAATGTTTCAATATTTAAAATCGGTCAGCTGTATTTTTGTTGTATAAATTCACAAGTTACATATCAGGGTTATTATTGTTAGCTAAAACTATTTTTGGTGATTTAAATATATAGCTGAAATAACAAATATTAGGTGAAAAATGTAAATTAAACAAAAATGAACAAACTAAAATAAGTTTGAGTTGAATCACTAAAATTGCTTACTGTAAATAACTAAAATTAAAGAGTAAACCTAATTAAGTAATATTAAAAATGCTAAAACAAAATAACTAAAATTAAATTAAAATGAAAACTAAAATTTTAAAATAAAAGCTAGTTCAAAATAATATTATAAATTATTATTTGCATGCATTTCCACCCTTCCACATTCATATGCATATGAAGTAAAGCATGAAGCTTAAATAGTTTTAATAATATAATTATTATTATGCTTAATAATTTGACTCATTGAAAACAGGTGCATGTAACCTATATTTTTAAATATAAAACGGCTTTAAACCACCTATTGATTGACATTTATTTCATACATTCAGTTTGTGTGGCTTCATATGGATCTTTCTGTCTAGATACACCATCCAGGACCTGCTGGAGCACACGTTCTTCCAGGAGCACAATGGCGTTTACGTTGAATTGGCTGAGGAAGATGATATGGTCAAATCCAGCCTGAAGCTCTGGCTTCGCATGGACGGCACCAAGAAGCTCCACGGAAAGTACAAGGACAACAACGCCATTGAGTTCCTGTTCGAGCTTTACAAAGACGTGCCAGAGGAGGTGGCGCAGGAGATGGTGAGCTTCACTCACACATAATCTCATGCTAACCGGATCTTTACCTCCCTTTCTGTTAGCTTTTCATATGTGTTTCTTGAAGGGATCTAAGGTGTGGTTACATTTCCCATCCACTCTGACTCGTTGGTTTACTGTCACTGTTAACACTAAACCCAGATATTCCCCTCAGGCATCAACAAAGCGTATGTGTTCACAGATGTACGTTAATATGTGGGTTGAGTTTTCTGCAGAGATCTGCAACAATGATCCTGAAGCATTGATATTCAATCACACAGAAATATTAAACAAATATGTGTGTCTTAGTAACCTACCAGTTTTTAACAGGTGTTTACTGTGCATGTTACCACAACACAAGTGGACGAATCTTACAAAAACACATCCAGATTGCATTTCATCCCAAAAACTAATGGGGAAAAAGGCATTTTCCAGTATTTTCTGACCGTTAATCACATTTCCCCGCTCAATTCTTGTGTCCAGGCGGTTTTCTTTTGAGTTTCTGGTCATTCAGAATACTCACAGTGGCAGATTTCATGACTGTAATGTGCAAAGACATTTTACTTTTAAGTTTTAGCAAATTCCCTAATTCCAATGTCATTTCTCATTACTGAAATACGTTGTTTTTAGGGCTGTCAAATCGATTAATCACGATTAATCGCATCCAAAATAAAAGTTTGTGTTTACATAATACATGTGTGTGTACTGGCAATTTATGTATATATAATACACACACATACATGTATATAAGAAATATATGTAATATATTTATAAATAATAATGTATATATATATATATATTTCTTAAATGTATACATGTATATGTGTGTATTTATATATACATATAAATATACATAGCACACACTCATATCATGTAAACACAAACTTTTATTTTGGATGCTATTAATCGTGATTAATCTATTTGGCAGCCCTAAATATTTTATATATTTTTTCTAAGAATTGGTAGTAAGAATTGAGAATTGAGACAATAATGCCAAAAGCGTCTTAATTTCAATGATCATAAGTAGTGTTGTCACAATACCAAAATTTACCATAAGATTTAACACTGTGTCTTTCCTTAAGCAAAATATAATTTATTGATTTGGGGCTGAAATGTGATGCAGAACTGTACTTTTATCAGATTCACCCAAGCTTGATTTCTTTGTTTTTACCCTTATGACTTCATGACACAGGTTTCCTCTGTGACCTTCACAATGTCGGTCGTTTCCAACAATCTGTCCTCACTCTGGGTAGATTTCTTTACTCTTCCTGTGTCAGTAATATGGGGACGTAACTGAACTCTTGACCTTCCTAGAGCACAAAGTCCCAAACACACCTCAGTATGTATCTACTGGCAGGGTTTTTCTTGACACAGTGGCACATGAGCCTCACCATTCGCTTCAGGCCCGTGTAACCCTGCTGTGTGTTGCATAATGGTTTCAAGGGCATAGCTTTTTAATTATCAAGGTGGAAATGTGAGAGCGGGGCCAAATGAGGAAGAGGACTGCGTTGTGAAACTGGAGCCTTTCTCTTGTCCAGACTGAATCCCACTTTTTATTAGACCGGACCTTCACAATTCGTCTTTTATCTCTCAACGTGTCTGCTTTTCATCAAGAACAAATTTATTGTCAAGTCACATCGACGGAGGGTTATCACGTAATTTGACTAGCTGATATGATGATAGAGTCTTCAAGGTTATTCAAGGTGAAAGGTTATTGAGAGCCATTTTCATAAACTTCATGCCAAGAAAATGAGCCTCACCATTCGCTTCAGGCCCGTGTAACCCTGCTGTGTGTTGCATAATGGTTTCAAGGGCATAGCTTTTTAATTATCAAGGTGGAAATGTGAGAGCGGGGCCAAATGAGGAAGAGGACTGCGTTGTGAAACTGGAGCCTTTCTCTTGTCCAGACTGAATCCCACTTTTTATTAGACCGGACCTTCACAATTCGTCTTTTATCTCTCAACGTGTCTGCTTTTCATCAAGAACAAATTTATTGTCAAGTCACATCGACGGAGGGTTATCACGTAATTTGACTAGCTGATATGATGATAGAGTCTTCAAGACAACATTGGCCTACATTGTTTCAGTGGAAACACACTGTTCCAGAGTTGAGTGAAAGGTTATTGAGAGCCATTTTCATAAACTTCATGCCAAGAAAAAATTAGATTTAGATCGTCAAAGAATGCAGAATTTGTTGGCATCAATAACAAGGCACCATGTTTCACACTTGCATGCAACGTTTAAGGAGTAATTTACCCAAAATTGAAAATGTAGTCACCCTCAGGCCATCCAATATCTAGATGAGTTTCTTCATCAGATTTGGAGAAATGTAGCATTCCATCACTTGTTCACCAATGGATCCTCTGCAGTGAATGGGTGCCATCAGAATGAGAGTCCAAACAGCTGATAAAAACATCACAGTAATCCACAAATAAAAAGTCCATCTCCTGTTGTCCTCTCACATTAAAATCCACCAGCATATTTGTTTAGAACTGTTTTGGACTGTTTTTACTTGTAAACGGTGCTTGATCTGTGCATATTTCTCGCCTGATTCAGACAAGACGACTTTTTAACTGGAGAAAGCAATATTATGGATAAACGACTTGTATCTTAGCCAGAAACTATGGTTTGAAGTTAAAAATGTTTTAATGATGGATTTGTTTGTACAATTACGCAGCTTTTCACTACACAAGATGTGAACTGATGGACTGGAGTGGTGTGGATTACTTGTGGATTATTGTGATGTTTTTATATCAGCTGTTTGAACTCTCATTCTGACGGCACCCATTCACTGCAGTAGATTTTATGGGATCATGTTAATATTTGAGAGCACAGTTACTAGTGTAGGCACCCAAGTCATGGTAGACACCATATTTCTTTTCATCTGAATACAAAAATAGTGATTTAAATTTGATTTGACCCATATGTATTGTTGCACTAATAAAGTTTTACTCTCACTAATAGTTTTATCAATCATCTCATTTTTTCCAGGTGGTTCTGGGGTTTGTATGTGAGGCCGACTACAAGTTGGTCGCCAAGGCCATGCGAGACCGCGTTACAGCCATCAAACGTCAGCGAGAAAAACACCGTCGGCTAGCAGAGGAGAAGCAGCGGAAGAAGAAGGAGGAAGTTATTGAGGAAGAGTCTGAGCTGCCATCGCCCAGATCCAACGTTCAAATATCTGAAAACCCCGCCCCTTCTCCTGTGCAGATCCCGCCCACTCCTGTAATCCCAGAACCCATGTGCTCTCCCATTACTGGCTCATCGGATTCTGGGATTAACGGCAGATTCCCACCAGAGCCAGAGGAACCAGAGGCCGATCAACACTTCCACATCCACCATACAAGCTGCTCCTCAGCAACCTGTACGTACCAGATCTTCATTTGATCATGTTTATGTGATTACAATAATGCTACTATTGAGCAGCGATAGACCAATACACTAGTCAGGCTGATACTTTTTAGGTTCATTATTAGCCACTGAAAAATCCATATTGGGAAACCACTATTTCAGATGTCTTTCTGCTCTCCTGCACGGGTTCAAGACGGCCAGTGAGCCTCACATAAACTACATTGTGCAGTGCCCTAAATTTTCCTCAATGTTTCTTTCATGGCGTGTTAAGCCCGGCAGCTCTCCTAGACCTGAAAACAGCATGGCACAGTCAACCGACGTCCACAAATAAACTCTTTTTAATAGCCAGTGTGTGTATGCTTATCAGGGAGGGTGAGGGTTACGGTCATGCAGTTTGACACTCTTGGAGTGGAAACTATAGAAAAAGGAGGACACTGTGATATGAAGAAGTAGATTTAATGCATTATTAACTGTTATATTCCTACATTGTGTATGTATTTTCTCTGTTGACATGTTAGCAGTCAGTCAAGGTTATTATAGTTACAATTAATACTATAAAACTTGCAATAAAATAAGTGTTAACTCAAATAAAAATATTATTAAATGAACACTTTTTTTTTTTTATTTCAGATAGAACCATAACTGCAACATTATTGTGGTATCATTGAGATAATATAGTTTTTATAACAATTTTGAATGTTTTAATTTTTCATTTCAATTTTAGTTAAAACTTTAGTAATTATTTTAAAATATGTCTGTTTGTTTCTCATTTTTTATTTGTGAGCCTGGAGCACAAAACCAGTCTTAAGTCGCTGGGGTATATTTGTAGCAATAGCCAAAAAATACATTATATGGGTCAAAATGATTGATTTTTCTTTTATGCCAAAAATCATTAGGATATTAAGTAAAGATCATGTTCCATGAAGATATTTTGTAAATTTCCTACCGTAAATATATCAAAACTTAATTTTTGATTAGTAATATGCATTGCTAAGAACTTCATTTGGACAACTTTAAAGGCGATTTTCTCAGTATTTAGATTTTTTTGCACCCTCAGATTCCAGATTTTCAAATAGTTGTATCTCAGCCAAATCTTGTTCGATCCTAACAAACCATACATCAATGTAAAGCTTATTTATTCAGCTTTCAGATGATGCATAAATCTCAATTTCGAAAAATTGACCCTTATGACTGGTTTTGTGGTCCAGGGTAACATTTAGTTTAACCGGATGAAAAAACTAATAAATTGACATAAAAAAAAAAAAAATGACAAAAGCAAAACAAAATGACTAAAGCTAACTAAATGTAACATTTCTTATTTTCATTTAGTTTAACTTGATGTACTAAAATAAACTAAAACTGAAATAAAATGAATGAAAAACTCATTTAAGACATGAAAAAAACTAATAGAAATGACAAAAGCACAACAAAACTACTAAAAATAACCAAGTTTACCATTTTACATTTTCATTTAATTTAATTTGATGTACTAAAATAACTAAAACTGGACTGAAATGATGCTAAAACAAGCAGTGAGTTGTGACGCACTTCGCTGACATTTTGCCATGTTGTTTTAAAGGAAGAATATAAGCGGTGGACATGGCATCTGCTTTAAGCTTTTAACCCTGTTTTGATCCATGAATTCTAGTGTCCTTTGGCCTTTGATCCAAGTCATCTGATATGAGAGACATCCATGCTATTTATGAATAAAGTCATCAAGACCTTAACGTAATGTATTTCTGAGTGAAACAGGATATTTAATGATAACATCATTGGTGGGTCTTGATTTGATCCATTGGGGGATTGATTGGATGGTGAAAAAGAGTTAAAGCAAGCTTTTAATGAAAGAATACAACAACAAACAGGATCCATAGGGATATCTATTAACAGATCGTCCGTTTGTCTTTGTGTTTCTCCAGCTGACTGTGAGACTGATGGATATCTCAGTCCCTCTGGCTTACAGGATGTTACCGAAGCTTCAAATGGCACCGTCAGCTGCTCTCCAATCCTTCTCCCCCAACAGGCCACACCCACAGAGGCCACGCCCACAATCACTCCACCAATCCTGGCTCTCCGTTTCCCCTCAGTGAGTTTATAATTACAAAATTGGCCTCACTTAATCCCGAGTTAGACTCAGGAGAGCCATTTAACCTTAATTTACACTAATTACTATGAACTTGTTTCTTTGATGTTTGTTGTTAATTACTCCATGTAGCTGAAGGCCTGTTCCTTAATCTTCCCACAGAGTATTGCCGTGTCTAGTAAAACCGAGAGAGGACCGCTTAGCCCTTTCTCCTCACCCGTGGACAGGTAAAGACCTGCTTACTTTATCCCTCAGCTCTTCTCTCACATCTGTGGACTTTGAGGTCGATGTTTTACTTTAGTGCCAGATGTACTAATGGCTTTGTGCTCAGTAGGAGCCCATCCCCTCCTCTCATCTTTCGCAACAGAGCACATGCTCCATGTCCTATAGGATACTGTTTATACACCACAGGGCTCTTGGACGCCGTCCCTAGCAAATGCCTGCCATTACAGCATAGTTTTCCACTCTTCATGTTCCTCAACAGGCAGAGATCTTTCAAAAAGAGCCAGAGTCTGCCAAACAGTAGGCTGGCTATAAACGTGTTTGTGGGCCTCGTAGGAAGCCCAGTGTTTGGATAAAACAGAGGCTTGTGTTGGTAAAAGATCTGGGAGACACAATTAGCTCACAGAAACAAGCTCAGAATGGACTCCACGTCCCTACGGGCCAAAGTCAAACAAGGCCTCAAACTGTGTGTGGAACTTCGGCAAAGATAAAGCCAATTCAAATACTACATCTGTCTAGTTTTTCCTCTTTAGCTGTTATATTGGATTTCCAGAAAACAGTGCAGTTAAAAATACATTTTGCTGTCCAGCAGTTCTTCCCATGTGTAAAAAGAAGTACACTTTAGTGTACTTTTATAAAGAGTACTTATTACTGAAATAGTATACTTTAAGTGCAAACTGAATGTAATGTTTTTGAATACTTAATTGCTTTAATGTTATTTCTATTGAAACCTGTATGTCATGTATTTAAATATATTTGTAATCGCACATTTGTAATGATGAAGTTGCAGTTCAGTACATTTAAAATATATTTAAATGAAATAGCATATAAATCCCCTACAGTTAAAATTATAATCAAGTACTTTACATGTGCTTTAGTATGTTAGTCAACACATTAAAATGTACTTTAAAGTAAAACTTATAAATTGACATTATTACAATGTGCACTTTTTAAAAGTGTGTTAAGATACAGTGAATCTTTGAAAGTAACTCTTTAAGTACACTTAAGTGGCCTTTTATTTCAATAATGTATTATCTAGAAGTACAATTTTTGTAAATATACTTTTAAGATTTAAAGTATACGACAAGTGCACATTCAACACATAAGCACACTTGTTTTTCACAAGGGTTCTGTGCACTGGACATTACTGACGATCGACGGGGTCATAGCCCAACAACTAAAAGAAGGACATACACAGAGTTTGTTTAACTACTTCAGACTTGTAAAACCTAATAAGCGGGAACACAGCGCTCATTAAATGTACCGTGTTCCCTTAAAAACCTGATATTAAACAAATAAGGGTGTTGAGATGATGAGAGAGGGAAATTCCTCAGTGGTTTATGCTTATTGAACCATTTTAATGGGCTCTGTTTAACTGCAGGTCTTCCAAACACCCGTTTACTTAACATGACGTTCACATTTGTGCTTTTATAAGTTTACTAGGTTGTACAAAGTGCTAGTCGTGTTGATTTGACGGTTAACATAACAAACTTGATTTTTGCAAATGGTTTGGGGTGAGTTGCACACAGAAGTTTAATACTTAGGGTTAATTTTATGTTTAAATACCATGCAACAGTATGTATGCATTAGCAAACATCGCTAATAATGATAGCTGTAAGTGCACACACAGATATTTTCCTGCAGTTTGGAATGCCATAGAATGCAAAACATAATCTTTTGTAAATAATTTGTAATTTAGTTATCCTTTCTTCACAGTTATGCTTCAGACGTGACCTCAGGCTTGAGCGATGGCTACGATGGACTGTCAGACAGAGGGAGTAAGTTTGCTGAAAGACGGACAACAGGGAAACTGTTTAGGAGGAGAATGCGGTCCCGTCTGCGCATTACAGGGGTGAGGATAATTCAGCATTTGATCCAGTCACGTATGCATCAAACTAACTAGAGGTTGACCGATATTTATTCTTTAATGTCTGATGCTGATACCGATAATCTTAGAGAGCAGGTTGGCCGATGAACCATATAAAGCTCATATGACCTTGCACTATAGATTGTAAATTCTGCAATAATATTTATATTAATTTGACAATATTTACTAAAATAAATTATTTGAAAATTAATCATATGAAAAAGACAGCTTTTTATTTGTTATTATAAATAAAATTATAACTAATTTTATATTATAAAGATATTATAATAGAATTTTGACAGTTCTTAGCAGTGTCAAAATAAAAGTCCAGCTTCCTACAGTTTTCAGCCAAACAAAAAACTAAGTGCCTGATGCCGATAATTAAAAAATGCCAAATATCAGCCAATATATCAGCCTTGAGAACAAAACTTGAACTAAATCAAGATGAATAATGGCACTATTGCCTTCTGTAGAACTGCTTGTAGCTGAATCAAACTATAAGTTTCATAATTGATAAACACAATTATTGAACTGAACGGATCAACACTGTACCGACTTGAGCTGAAAAATTATGCTATTGTCTTTTTAAACCTGCTTTACAGCAGAATTTGAATTTGTCTCATATTTGATGAAGTTTGTTTGCATCACTGATTGTTATTTTCCTGCTTTGAAACAATCTGTATTTTATAAAGTATATTTTATAATATTTTTGATTTTATTAAATAAAGGTGACTTGACTTACCGATATATCAGTTGGAGACTGTGCTTAACCACCCACCAGTCCATTTCTCCACTTCTGTAAATCCATGATGGAAATCAAAAATTGTTATAAGTGCAAATGGCAATATCTTGGAATGATATCGCATGTGAATTCAAGATGTTTAGCAGATGTCCATGTGTGATCATTCTCTGCGTGGGTACGGTATGTCCTCAGTCATTTGTTTTATAAAGAACCCGTTCGGCTTGCATTGATTAGTATTCAAAGGGTTAGAGACATGAACAGTAAACACAGTCAAACACAATAAGCACAATAAGTCAAACACATCCCAAAGAGCATTTGGCCACTTGCAACAAAATGTATGAATGCCTTTTCAGTTGATGACAAAATATGAAATACAGAATATTTGTGTGTGTTGTTCCTCACAGGTGTCTGATAAAGTAGACCGGGTAGTTGAGTGTCAGCTACAGACCCATAACGATAAGATGGTCACCTTCAAATTCGACCTGGATGGCGACAACCCTGAAGACATTGCTGCAGTAATGGTAGGTGCCTAAAATCTTAAATACATTCGTTAAAGGGATAGTTCACCCAGAAATGGAAATTATGTCATTAATTACTCACCCTCATGTCGTTCCAAACCCGTAAGACCTTCGTTCATCTTCGGAACACAAATTAAGATATTTTTGATTAAATCTGAGAGCTTTTGACCTTGAAAAGACAGCAACGCAACTTTCCACATTCAAGGCCCAGAAAGTTAGTAAGGACATCATGTGTGTGCATGTGGACTATTTTAACGATGTCCTTACTACCTTTCTGGGCCTTGTACGTGTCAGTTGCATTGCTGTCTATGGAGGGTTAGAAAGCTCTCAGATTTAATCGAAAATATCTAACTTTGTGTTCTGAAGATGAACAAAGGTCTTACGGGTTTGGAACAACATGAGGGTTAGTAATTAATGACAGAATTTTCATTAGTGGGTGAACTATCCCTTCAACACATTGTCTTCTCTTTTCATAATGGCTTATTCTTTTTATTTTTTTTTGTAGAGTTAAATCAAACATAAATATCAAATGTCTTGACTACATTAGGATGATGATATTAGTATCCAGTAGTAGTCATGGGACACATGTAAGCACACAACCACATACATTATCAGCTGTAGCAGAGATACACAAATGCCCCACTGCCGCCCTTATCAGGAAAATCCCACGAGCTAATGTTGTACTTCCCCTCCGTCAGTGAGTGATATGCTCTTATTAGTGCCGTGAAAACCTTGTGAGAAAGTCCTCAGTGAGGCACGTATCCAGACCTCACTCATTTAGCAGCGTGTACTGTGGTAGATTAGATTAGAGATGGGAGATTGTCAGAGCCATAGGCTAGTGGCCCTTTCCCGATCCCATTTCCCTTTTTTATTTCCAATCGTTCGTTTGTTTGTTACAGTATTTATTAATCTTTGTTAATGTTAGTTAATAAAGATACATCTGTTCATTGTTAGCTCACGTCAACTCTATTGACTATTAAATTATATTAACAGATACAACTTTTGATTTGAATTTATTGATAAATGTTGAAATTAACAACTAAGATTAACTAAGTTTTTTGCCATTTTTTAATTATAGGCATTGAGCACCGATTTTTTCTGTTTGGCCAATAACTGTCAGAAGCGGGACTTTTATTTTGACAACACTGGCTTTAATTTTGAACTGTCAAAATTATATTATTATAAGAACTGTCAAAATTAAGTTATGATAATGACTTTGTAACAAATACTAGGCAAACACTTTACATTCTCATGTTTATTTTTTCAAGTTAAATTTATTTTTTTACTGATAACTACTAATAGTTAACATGAACTAACAATAAAATAGTTAGCTGTTGTTAACAAATGAAACCTTATTGTGTTGTGTTACCATATTTTTAGGTTTTTCTTTTATATAGTAAAGTACATTACATTATACACATACGCATACTGACATTTTTCTGTTATATATATGTACATTTCAGATATATTTTGTCATAATCTGACTTGCACATGCCCCAGATCACCCACTGTTTCAGACATCTGGTTCTGTTTGTCCCTCATTATAAGACGCAGGAGAGCAATGTTGCATTTTTTTTCTTTTTTTGATTGATGTCATCTGATGCATGGTGTCCACCAGATGGCTAGATCGCTAAATGCCATTAACTAAACCTGGAACGAATTTAACATGGCTGAAAATAGCAGTGAAGCACCGAGTACCCAAGATCTAGACAAGTAATAAACAATTGTGTATGTGGAGATAGAAAGTTGCCTGCGTACTTGCACACCTCAGATACTTATATAATTTGAAGAACGTCTAATATTTTTAATCCAAAAGAGGTCTTAACTTAGTTTTTTTTATGTTTATTTGTCATAGGTTATTCTGTGATTTAATAATTCATGCACTGCATCAGAGTGCTGCAATGTTTCTGTTAAAAAAACAGTACTGGGTGGATTACTTACATACATTGTATTGTACATTTAACTATATTTTACTGTAAATGTATTTAAAATGTCACGTTACACTCTCACAAAAAAAAAAGGTACAAAAGTTGTCACTGGGGTTGTACATTTCCAAATAGTACAATTATGTACAATTTAGATACTAAGTATACTAATACTGTATGTACCTTTAATGTGCTTATATGCACCCTTTAGGGGTAAAAAAGGTACAAAGGTGTACCTTTTGAAAGGATACTGCTCCAGTGACAGCTTTTGTGCCTTTTTTCTGAGTGTAGATCTATTACAGTTTTTCACTGTACAGTTAACCAACAGGTTTGTACGCAACAATCTTTTACCATTAAAATTACAAATATTTTTAACAGCGTAGTCTGATTATGAGTATTTTAAAATGTATAGTATTTTAATATATAATCCAATTACAAGTACTTAATTTTTGGATTTCAGAATCCAGATTACATATGTGACCCTGGACCACAAAACCAGTCTTAAGTGTCAATTTTTCAAAATTGAGATTTATACATCATATGAAAGCTGAATAAATAAGCTTTCCATTGATTTATGGTTTGTTAGGATAGGACAATATTTGGCCGAGATACAACTATTTGAAGATCTGGAATCTGAGGGTGCAAATAAATCAAAATATTGAGAAAATCATCTTTAAAGTTGTCCAAATGAAGTTCTTAGCAATGCATATTACTAATCAAAAATTAAGTTTTGATATATGTATGGTGGGGAATTTACAAAATATCTTCATGGAACATGATCTTTACTTAATATCCTAATGATTTTTGGCATAAAAGAAAAATCTTTAATTTTGACCCATACAATGTTTTTTTGGCTATTGCTACAAATATACCCCAGCGGCTTAAGACTGGTTTTGTGCTCCAGGCTCACATATAATCAGCACTGAAGAAGTGAACACCAGTGTGGTTTGGAGGCGTTTCAGATGAATGAATTTAGAAGAGGAGGAATAAAATCTCAGAACAACCATAAAAAAAAATTTGCATTTACCAGTTCACGTCGAAGTATAAATAGAATATTAATGAACTGCTGATATTTTCCTTGAATGTGAGGCTTATATAGTGTAAGAGTGATGGACGCCTATTGTCTATATGAGCGTCTGACTGTATATTGCTCAATAAGTGTGCGTGTGCTGGATTACATGACTGTGTGACCGCATGCAGCTCCTTTTCTCCCATACAGAAGCTCTTTGTTTGGTCTCAGAGTCCTGGCAGCGCAGAGTCACTCCTGGCGTGTTATTGGTCGAAGCATGAACACCCACTGCTATTAGTGGTGTGTAAAAGCTCAGCTTGTGGACAAACTTAATTAAAGCTGCCTTGAATTAAAAGAGTGTCCATAAGCATGCACATGCTCAATTTAAGCACGTTTCATTTTAAGTAGTCGAGGGGTAGTTTGCATTGCACAGAGAGCCCACTTGATCCACGCATGGTCTACGTGCGCTACGTGTGCCAGTTCGCCCTCGGCGTTCAGAATGGATAGGCTTCGTACAGTAAGTCAGGCTTGCTCATTTGGTTTTGTTTATTTCCTTTTCTCTCACCCCCTCAAGGTGCATAATGAGTTCATCCTGCCCTCGGAGAAGGAAGGTTTCATTCACCGCATCGGTGACATCATTAAGCGAGCAGAGTCTATGATGAGGAAGGACTCATCGGGTCACCATGAAAGCTACGGAGTCGCCCGTCCCTCGTATATAAATGCCGTCCACTCACTCTCTGGTTCTCAGGCGAGCCTGCAAGTAAAGAAACCTGTCCAGTTCACTCACATTCATTATCCATTGCACTGTGATAACTACCAATAAGCTATGTCATTTATTAATTGTTTATTTTTCATATTATAATATGTTTGTAATATAATGTAATAATATTATTATATAAATACATACTGGTAAAAAATATATAGCCTGAATGCACTGTAAGTCGCTTTGGATAAAAGCATCTGCTAAATGCATAATTAATTATTAAATTATTATAAATATATAAAACTATAAAATATAGTATTAGATATAATTCATTGTAATTTACACTACTGGAATTATTACGGTTTTTGAAAGAAGTCTCTTCTGCTCACCAAGGCTGCATTTATTTGATCAAAAAAACAGTAATATTTTTAAATATTTTAAAAATTTTAAATAATTATTTTTGATTTGGATATATTTTACAATGCATTTGATTTCTGTGATGCGCAGCTGAATATTCAGCATCATTACTCCAGTCTTCAGTGTCACATGATCTTCAGAAATCATTCTAATATGCTGATTTGCTGCTCAAGAAACATTTCTGATTATTATCAGTGTTGAAAACAGTAGTGCTGCTTCATATTTTTGTGAAAACCATGATACGCAACCAATAAAAGGTTTCAGGTAAGTAAGAATATTAAATAATATTAATAATACTTTTAGCACATTAAATTGACAGTAAAGACATTTATAAAGTTACAAATAAATGTATAATTTTTTTCACAAAAATATTTATCAGGTAGTGTATATACTATAATCAATAAAATAATGATTTAAATGTATAATTTGTATAATATAGATTATGATAATTATTTAAATACCTACTTTTCCTATTAAATCAATTATCTGTTATGTACACGTACTTTTATTTTCCGCTTTGTAGAACAAGATGTATGCAGTAATAGCAGATAATTTTATGAGAGCGGCGTTTTAAAGATGTCTGGGTAATTGCAGTAGTGGGTGAATGATGGTTTATGGCTGTAGGTAAGGGTGTGTGCTCTGATCAAGCGATTACACAATCGATATCTTGAGTTCTCTGTTGTTGTGAGTGTGTTTGTTTGAAAATGAGGGTTTCAGGTTTAGCTGATGATCTTGAGGCGTGTTCTGTACCACTTTGTCCTGTTCTGGGCAGCACAAAAGAGCACACTAAACACTGAGCAGCTGGTTGAGATCTGTGTGCACCGTGTGCATTTCAGTGTCCTCTGATTTCCTCCACTATTTACAATGTAAATGAGGCTTTAAAGGGTTAGTTCACCCAAAAATGAAGATTCTGTCATTAATTACTCACCCTCATGTTGTTCCAAACCCGTAAGACCTTCGTTCATCTTCGGAACACAATTTAAGATATTTTTGATGAAATCTGAGGGCTCTCTGACCCTCCCATAGACAGCAAGGTAACTACCACGGTTCAAGGTCCAGAAAAGTACCAAGATGATCGACAAAGTAGTCCGTGTGACATCAGTGGTTCAACTGTAAACTTACGAAGCTACGAGAATACTTGTGAGAGAAGAAAATGTGGAATAAAGTCGTTATTTTTGTTTTCTTTGCGCAAAAAAGTATTCTCGTAGCTTGAATGTGGTAGTTACCTTGCTGTCTATGGGAGGGTCAGAGAACCCTCAGATTTCATCAAAAATATCTTAAATTGTGTTCCGAAGATGAACGAAGGTCTTACGGCTTTCGAACAACACAAGGGTGAGTAATTAATGACAGAATTTTCATTTTTGGGTGAACTAACCCTTTAAGGGAACCTGCGTAATCAAAGAGCTTTTTCTCCAAAACTACAAAAAACATTAGAAAAAATAAAGATGTTCATAAAGTTAGATTGACAGTGAAGACTTACAATGGATACTTTTTTCTACTTAAATAGTTATCGGTTCTGATAATGTGTATTTTTTATTTATTTATAAATAGCACTCAGCAATACCATGGTATGCCATAGTATATTCAACATGAAACAACAATGTATATCAAAACAACAAAATATGTATAATTTTAATGGTTAGCTTAACAGTTTTACTGTTAAACATAGCCCAAAGAATGTAATAAAAAAAATAAAATTTGACTGCAGCATACTTTACATACATATGCCATAAATAATACAAATATTATATTATATACATTTTATTAAATATTCTTTTTGAAATTGTTATAATGCACATTATTATTATCATTATTATGATGATGATTATTATTATATTTTTAGTCATTGTTCAAATTAAATTAATTTTAATTGTTTCAAAAATCAGAAACAATACATAAACAACCCATTCTGTTCTGACACATGAAAATACTCTGTATCTGTATCAAGAAAATGCAATATTGGCATTGACGATACTTAATGAATTTGCTTAATAAAACAGAAAGAAATTTAGTTATTTAGTAACAGTTTTGGTCACACTTTATTTTTCCAGTTCTCATAATTAACTAACTATTAACTTTTGCCTCAATATTCTTCTAATTCGCTGCTTATTAATAGTTTGTAAGGTAGTTGCTAAGTTTAGGTATGGGGTGGATTAAGGAATCTACAATATGGTCATGCAGAGTAAGGCATTAATATGTGTTTTATAAGTACTAATACACAGCCAATATGGTAGTAATATGCATGCTAGTTAATAGTGAGAATTGGTCCTTAAAATAAAGTGTTACTACATGTATATATATATATCATATATGTGAGATACAGTAATGAACACTGTGGTATTTTTTGCATTTTTTTGCGATGAAATCCTCACGTTGTCCAAACTCTGCAGAACAAAACACAGTCTCCGTTTACTCCAGCCTGCCAGTCAACTGATCTGCAGATATGTCTTAATTAGTACAGAGAAGCAGAACAATGGCTGTTTTATTTGGACTTAGAGATCTATAACAGAATAATGGAGGTACACACACCCACACACTCGTGCGTGGTACCCTGGGGATTGTGTAACCTCCACTCAAGAGCGGGCTGCTGTATGCAGACCAGGTCCTGATTACAACCAGCCGTGCGAGAGTAGCTGCATCCCATACCTCCTCCCTGCAGGCGTCCTAATGCTCGTCTCTGAAGTCTCCTGTGTCGTTCACTCAAGACGCTCAAACTGTAAAGGCGGAGGATATGACAGAATGTAACCCTTGTACCCAAACCACAGGCCTCCTTTTCAATAAGTGGCACAGCTGTGGAGTTTATGCAGAAGAAGTGGCATATGTGTGTATGAGCTGTTTCGTCCATAGAGAGTGATTGTCATGTTAATTGTGGCATAAATAGTCTGCAGAATGACTGTGTGTATGGCTGAAGTAGAGCGAGCTGTGAAGGAGCTCATAGAGATTCAGCGATCAGACATCAACTGCTCTTAACCTTAATTAAACTTAAGCACTCTGTCATTAAAGAATATTACACTAATAAATAAACCACAGTCTGAAGTCACTGTTACTCCCAGTTAGCATCTGCAGGCTTCAAAACTTTCAGTTCTCAATACCATGCGTTTAAAATTTGAATGTTGTGCAGTAATGAAATAAATTACAAGATTGCGCAATGTTATATTAATGACAGAATACAGGTTATACTGGATTAAGTTGTTTTTACTGCTGATGTGATTAAATGTGAACAAAAAAAATGAAAATTTAAGTTAAATTCAATTAAATTTTACATTAAATTTAATTTCATTTAAAGGGATACTTCACCCAAAAATGAAAACTACCCCATGATTTACTCACCCTCAAGCCATCCTAGGTGTATATGACTTTCTTCTTTGAGATGAATACATATAAAAAAAAAAAATGTTCTGGCTTTTCCAAGTTTTATTATGGCAATGAATGGTGGTTGAGATTTTGAAGCAAAATAAAGTGCATCCATCCATCATAAAAAGTCCTCCACACACAGCTCCGGGGGGTTAATAAAGGCCTTCTGAAGTGAATTCGTAGCAGAAGTTTTAAGTTTTAAATATGGACATTTTTCTTACACAAACCCATCAATTCACTTCAGAAGGCCTTTATTAACCCCCTGGAGCTGTGTGTGGAGGACTTTTTATGATGGATGGATGCACTTTATTTTGCTTCAAAATCTCAGCCACCCATTCACTGCCATTATAAAGCTTGGAAGAGCCAGGAATTTTTAAAATATAACTGAACTATCCGTCAAAAGATTAGAATAGGTATGATTTAAAAAAAAAAAAAACAGTAAAAACAAGATTGTTTTTTACTGTATTTTTCATAAAAATAAATGCACCCTTGATGAGCATCAGACACATCTTTCAAAAACATTCTCCCACTATAAATGAAGCCTCTGTAAAACAGGATTTGAAAGGACATTTATAATATAAAACGCACTGTTTTTCCTTACAGCCAAACCTTCACAGTCTGGCACGAGCTCATTCCTCTTCCTCACTACCAGGTAAGCTTACATAAACTTTGCCATTGAGTATTGATGATGCCAAAATGAAGTAACTCTTTCAAGCTCTTTCAATCCAGCACCTTTTTCACGCATATACATGTGGGTTTTCCAGCAGAGTTTGGTCTGGGCGCCGGGGCAAGAGCCTCTCCTCCGAGAGCCGCTGGAGACATTACCTCATCCACACGTCCACTCTTACGTTCACAGTCTTTCCATAATGCCCCAGGTAAGTGACCACTTCTCTCCAGTGTAACTCTGCTTTATTCCTGTGAGTGGAAATGAAAGCTGGCCGCTCTCTAAATGTCATCAGGCTGTAGCCGGCGCCTTCTGCATATATAGTAACTCAAAGATGCAGTTTGTATCCGCCTTGCTCATGGGACTCTTGGGTAATTGCTTTAGCTGAAGGCAACTTGTTTGTGGGCTGTGAATGCTGTCTTCACGGTTCCAAAAAATAATGAAAGTTGTGTTAACCTAAACAACATTTAAAACATCAACAGACGTCATTTTGACAGATAAACAATACGGCATCTGGTCTGTTATGACTCCGTACTTTAACAACGCCCCCACAGTTACTCAAAAGGGATAGTTCACCCAAAAATGAAAATTAGCCCATGATTTACTCACCCTCAAGCTATCCTAGGCGAGTATGACTTTCTTCTTTCAGACGAAGACAATCAGAGCTATATTAAAAAATGTCCTGGCTCTTCCAAGTTTTATAATGGCAGTGAATGGTGGTTGAGATTTTGAAGCTAAATAAAGTGCATCAATCCATCATAAAAAGTGCCCCACTTGGCTCCAGGGGGTTAATAAAGGCCTTCTGAAGCAAATTTATGCATTTGTGTCAGAAAAATATCCATATTTAAGGGTGAGTAAATCATGGGGTAATTTTCATTTTTGGGTGAACTATCCCTTTAAAAATAAATAGTTTTTTTTGTTTTTTTTGATGCCATAGAAGAACCATTTTTGGATTAACATAAATAACCTTTTTCCACTATAAAAAGAACCTTTTGTGAATGGAAAGGTTCTATGGATGTTAAAGGTTGGAACCACAGATGCCCATAAATGACCTTTATTTTTAAGAGTATGAATAGTGATCAGAAGTTTTTAAAGTTTTAGAGCATCAGGTCAAGAATAGAGATGGAGAGAGGTGCAAGTGAGGATTTGAGAAGATGAATGAAAATTCTTTTGTGTATTCTATTGGAGTAACTAATTTGATACTGTTTACTAAATGATCGTAAGACCCCATCGGTTATCTATGGAAGCTTATTTCGGCTACAAAATGAAACAATAAAAAAGGTAATTGTGGCTTTTTATCTCACAGAGTTTATATCTTGCAATTCTGACTATTTTATTAAAATGAAAGAAACAAGTCTGAATTATATGTGAACTCAGAATTATGAGATAAAAAGTTGCAAATAATTTTTTATTTTTGTATTCTGTGGCAGAAATAAGCTTTTATAGATATATTTTTCCTATTGTGAAAGCAGAATAAAAAAAAACAAGAACTTCCTAAGACTACAAGAGTAAAAAAGCTTATGCAACTGAATGAAAAAACTCTAAATATTACATTATTTGACTGAACAATGACATGGTAAAATAAAATTGATTTCAAATGCAATTATTTAACATTTTGAGTTTTTGAATGAAATCAAAAAGCTGTTGTGACCACATTAGCATATTGAGCTTATTGAAGATAATACAATAGTTTTACCCAAATTAAGACCCGTTCATACCAAGAACGATAACTGTAACGATAGCTATAACGATACCAGCATTCACACCAGTGGACGATATAGTTCTGTTTATTATAAGCTTGCTGCAGTTTTGTCGTCTGCCACTTTAAATGCTAGAGCTCTTTAAAGTCAGATGGATTCTGATTGGCTGTCAATGTTTCTGTCATTCACCAGCTGGAAAAAAATTGTTCTGAAAGAGATTCCAATGATATTGTTTCTCTTTGTCGTTATCGTTATAGTTGTGGTGTGACTTACTAATTCTCAAAGAATCGGAACGATATTGTCATTTTTATTATTGAATATGTTAATATTGTCTATATCAAGACAAGATCTACCTACAGAAATGGAATTGCACTTACTTTTATGCGTTTGGCAGATGCTATTATCCTGCATTGAAGGTATACATTTGATCAGTTCATGCATTCCCTGAGAATTAAACCCATGGCCTACTGTTTTAGCTACAGTGTTGTAGTCAATTGCATATACATTTTGGGAATGGCAGAAAAAAAGACTTGGAACATTTACAACCCACGAACCCAGTTCATCAAAGTGACAGATAATGACATTTGAAGTGCAACTTCTGCTCCCCACATCTGTTTGTAAGCTCTTCTGCTCTCCCCATCGGGGAGCTTTGTCGTAAATTAAATACCAAGACCCACAAATCCTGCCAGACCCCCACCCGCTGAAGTCTCTCCACCGCTGCTGGTGCTTTTCTGTCCCTCCCACAGAACATTTTGTTCTGCTGCCTTCTGGCTCCGTGCCTCCATGATGCATCTTGCTTGTTCACTTTTTGAAAAAGAATATCCAGATATAACCAAGAGCCACTGTTATGATGTCTACAGCAATTATCTTCATCCGACCAAATTACCAGCAGCCTCTGTTACAATGGGAGCTTTACAAGCCAATGCACAGCTGGTTTTTATTTTCCTTAATGTCAGGCTCGCTGGCTTCATCGATCGTTCACTGGGCCTGTTGACGTAATGGACCCATCAGATACAGTGTTAGACAACACTTTATGTATTGCCATGGAGATGGCACTGTGTGAAAGGTTTATTGTGTTGAGGCCTTTCACTTTAGCATTGACGGATGCACAATGAGAGATGATGGGACAAGCCCATAGGTGTGTGAAATAGAGCGAGGGTGACATCTCATCCTGTTTGCTTAGGCTCGCACAAAGCAGGAGGAACCAGTTACGGTCATTTATCATGCCTGTATTCACACGAGTATTGTAATCAAGGTTCGGTTATTGCTTATGAATGAGTGTGATTAAATCAGTTGCAACAGTAGCTTTTGTTGTTTTCTGGAGAGCCTTCTAGCTAGGCGTACATCCAAAGTAGGTTTGTGTCAGATCTTTCCAGCATATTTTAAATGCTTTCTATATAAACTTATAGATGCATAGTGTATAGTGAACAACCTTTCAGATGTTTATGAATTGGTTTTGTTTGCAAGCTGTGAGTGTAGTTGTGCTCACATAGGCATCGCCAATATTAACTTTGTCATGTAACTCAACCATGAGTGATACTTCAAGTCATGCAACTTTTTGAGTGACGTTTATCATTTTGATAAATGATAAATGGCCAATATTACAACTTTATGCAATTTAGTCTAAATGAATTAGAAATAAAACACTAAAGCTAAAAGCAGCCGCTTTAGATTCTACAAGTGAGATCATCACAATATTGTAATGTACAGCACAAAACAATGGATATTAGTTTAGAAAATGTTACAGATTACATTTAACAATGGTATTAAATAATGAGTGTTTTTAAAAATTAACTTTTAAATGTAAACATTTTGGAAAATTGGGAAAGAGCATTAATAATTAAATATACAATATATATAAATATTCATAAATAATAAAAACAAAAAAATGTACATTTATGCATTTAGCAAGCTTAAATTTTATATTTAAAATTGTAAATATTTGTGACGAGCAACCACACAGCAGTTATTTTAGTATCAATGAGATACTGTTATAGTTTTTATCAATATTTAATTACATTTTTAATTTTAATCCATTTTAATTTTTTTGTTTTTATTTTCATTTTTTAATTTAAATTGTAAAAATTTGAAAGCATTTTTGTTGTTTCCCCCCATTTTATTAGTTTGTTTTGCTTTTTGTTTGTTTTTTAAAATGTCTAAATAGTTTTTATTAATTTTTATTTCAGTTTTATTTTTGTTGTTATGCATTAAGTCAAAATGAACTTGAGAAATGTTGCCTTGACAACTAGCTGAAATGTATTTAAAGTAAAAAAAAACAGATTTTTCATGGTTTTAGTTACTATAATATCCTCGTCACACAGCTGCATGCTTTTTTATACAACTTTATGTACAAATCTCACTCTAAACTACCCTTGTGACTTATGTTTTTTGTCATTTCGCAGGTTCTCCTCATCCTCATCACGTCCCATCAGCTTCAGTCTATCCTCCTGATCCCAGAATGCCTCATTCCAAACTACCTCACATGCAGCAGTACATACCCTCATACATGAACACCGCCACTCACTTCCCCTTCCCGTACCTGCCTCACCCAGCCTCCCCCAAACCCGCCCACACTCCCCTATCCCACATACACAGCAGTCCGTCATACTCCCTCTCGTCCCCTTCATCCGTCCCGGGCTCCCCGAGTCCCTTCAGCTCGGACGTCTCAAGTCCTGTTTCCGACGTCAACCTGATGTCTCCCCCTCCGACTCACACGCCGGCCATGTGGCCTCCTCACACTCAACCGCTGTTTTCCCTGGCAAATGTGCTGTCTATGGCCATGAGCATGGCACATTCGTTCATGCCCACGCCGAGTCTGGTACAGGCCATGCCGGGGTTCCAGCCCGGTTATCCCGCGATGTACGCGCCCCAGTATCCTCCATCTGTACCGGCGGAGGTGGCGTATAACCAAGGGATGGCCGAGTATTACCAGGCCTTGGGTTCCCAGTTTCGGGACACTGTGATGTCGTCTCCTTCCCAAGCTACTCCAACATCTGCTTCACCCAGCGGCGTCTCCGCATCCAGCCAGCAGACAGCGTCCACAGTTCCTCAAGAAGGAATGCTGTACACACAGGAATCCTCCAAGGATTATCCTCATGGATACAGACCCGTTTTCCCCAGACACTTACTGGAGCAGCGGAGCAGCCCCGGGTCTTCATCCGGACGCTCGTCTTCCTCACGAGCGAGTCCAGATAGCAGAGTAAGCCTAATTTTATTCCAGTCTGTACATTTGTTTTTAGAGCTGCAAAATAAACAGAAATAAAATCGCAAAGGCTGCGATTTAATAAAATATATGCGCTGCATGTTTCCGAGTCATGCATGATCCAGTGTTTTCAGTGGCTCGGTTTGCAGTAAACGCTGCTCCACACTCCACATCTTCACATCTGTTCTGAGTTTTGGTCACCGTAACATGCATTTAGGAACGCTGCATATGTCAATCATCTCCCAAATAGCTTATAAACCAGCTTTTTATTTTTTCAGCTTAAAATAAAAGCTGGTTTACTGTTTGAAAATGAAGAAATTAAGACTAAAATACGTTAGATATTTTTCATACTTTTCATTTTACAGTGCAATATTTATTTATTTATTTAGTCATTTATCAGATGCTTTTATCCAAAGCGACTTACAAATGAGGACAACAGAAGCAATCAATTGTAGTATTAAAACAACTAAAAACAGATCCAAAACTAAAAGCTAAAACTTTATAAATACTACCTATACACATTTTAAAAATAAAGAGATTAAATAAAAATGACAAATGCATACAACAAAATTTCAAAACGTAACATTTAAATGAAAAGCAAAAAATAAAGCTAAAAACAATTCAAAATATTAATTATTTTGGTTTATTAATTAATTAATTATTAATTATTTTGGTTTATTGTTTTGTCATGTGGTCTTTTGTTCTGCCTTCTGTTTGGTTCATGTTCCTCAATATAACAAGATGTATACTTTCATTTCATAATAGTAATAATAATTATTATTATTACATAGTCATATTGATATATTTTTATTTACTTAATTTACTTTTATTGGCCAAATTGTGCAGCCCTACAAACAAGCACAGCAAACCTCGATTTTTTTTTTCTTTTCACATTTTATCAGAAAAATCGCAATCAGATTTTTACCTCCAAATCATGCAGCCTTACTTCCTTCCCAGAAAGAGTCTGAGCAATCACTGGTCCCAAAATAACTTGTTTCAGGGATCAATATGTTACATGGAATAAAAAAAATGAGCGATGTGCATTTATGACTTTTAATTAAAATGTTATTGTTTTTTATTTAATCATGTAAATAATAAAAAATGAATCGCTTCATAAAATATTTATTTATAAATAATCACTTCATATTTTTTTTAAGTTATTTCTTTACTCCATCATTTCCATTTCCAGTAAACATATAATACAATTTTTATTAAATATATAATCATAAAAATGTGTGGATATGATAAATGATTCACAGCCTGGTTGGAACCAATGATGGGTCCGGATCTAAATCATGATACGCAAACTGGTGACCTCTGCTCTTAACATTGAGTAAATCTTTAGCTTTGCCGTGTTTGTTTCCATAGTGTTGGCAATTGTTCTGAGCATGTTTTATATGACTGAATGTCAACGGCTAACATTGCTAATGTTCCTTTGAATGTGCTCATCCTCGGTTATGAAACCCAGATGTGGAAGTATGCCTGAATAAAATTTTTCCTATTGTGAAAGCAGAATAAAAAAAAACAAGAACTTCCTAAGACTACAAGAGTAAAAAAGCTTATGCAACTGAATGAAAAAACTCTAAATATTACATTATTTGACTGAACAATGACATGGTAAAATAAAATTGATTTCAAATGCAATTATTTAACATTTTGAGTTTTTGAATGAAATCAAAAAGCTGTTGTGACCACATTAGCATATTGAGCTTATTGAAGATAATACAATAGTTTTACCCAAATTAAGACCCGTTCATACCAAGAACGATAACTGTAACGATAGCTATAACGATACCAGCATTCACACCAGTGGACGATATAGTTCTGTTTATTATAAGCTTGCTGCAGTTTTGTCGTCTGCCACTTTAAATGCTAGAGCTCTTTAAAGTCAGATGGATTCTGATTGGCTGTCAATGTTTCTGTCATTCACCAGCTGGAAAAAAATTGTTCTGAAAGAGATTCCAATGATATTGTTTCTCTTTGTCGTTATCGTTATAGTTGTGGTGTGACTTACTAATTCTCAAAGAATCGGAACGATATTGTCATTTTTATTATTGAATATGTTAATATTGTCTATATCAAGACAAGATCTACCTACAGAAATGGAATTGCACTTACTTTTATGCGTTTGGCAGATGCTATTATCCTGCATTGAAGGTATACATTTGATCAGTTCATGCATTCCCTGAGAATTAAACCCATGGCCTACTGTTTTAGCTACAGTGTTGTAGTCAATTGCATATACATTTTGGGAATGGCAGAAAAAAAGACTTGGAACATTTACAACCCACGAACCCAGTTCATCAAAGTGACAGATAATGACATTTGAAGTGCAACTTCTGCTCCCCACATCTGTTTGTAAGCTCTTCTGCTCTCCCCATCGGGGAGCTTTGTCGTAAATTAAATACCAAGACCCACAAATCCTGCCAGACCCCCACCCGCTGAAGTCTCTCCACCGCTGCTGGTGCTTTTCTGTCCCTCCCACAGAACATTTTGTTCTGCTGCCTTCTGGCTCCGTGCCTCCATGATGCATCTTGCTTGTTCACTTTTTGAAAAAGAATATCCAGATATAACCAAGAGCCACTGTTATGATGTCTACAGCAATTATCTTCATCCGACCAAATTACCAGCAGCCTCTGTTACAATGGGAGCTTTACAAGCCAATGCACAGCTGGTTTTTATTTTCCTTAATGTCAGGCTCGCTGGCTTCATCGATCGTTCACTGGGCCTGTTGACGTAATGGACCCATCAGATACAGTGTTAGACAACACTTTATGTATTGCCATGGAGATGGCACTGTGTGAAAGGTTTATTGTGTTGAGGCCTTTCACTTTAGCATTGACGGATGCACAATGAGAGATGATGGGACAAGCCCATAGGTGTGTGAAATAGAGCGAGGGTGACATCTCATCCTGTTTGCTTAGGCTCGCACAAAGCAGGAGGAACCAGTTACGGTCATTTATCATGCCTGTATTCACACGAGTATTGTAATCAAGGTTCGGTTATTGCTTATGAATGAGTGTGATTAAATCAGTTGCAACAGTAGCTTTTGTTGTTTTCTGGAGAGCCTTCTAGCTAGGCGTACATCCAAAGTAGGTTTGTGTCAGATCTTTCCAGCATATTTTAAATGCTTTCTATATAAACTTATAGATGCATAGTGTATAGTGAACAACCTTTCAGATGTTTATGAATTGGTTTTGTTTGCAAGCTGTGAGTGTAGTTGTGCTCACATAGGCATCGCCAATATTAACTTTGTCATGTAACTCAACCATGAGTGATACTTCAAGTCATGCAACTTTTTGAGTGACGTTTATCATTTTGATAAATGATAAATGGCCAATATTACAACTTTATGCAATTTAGTCTAAATGAATTAGAAATAAAACACTAAAGCTAAAAGCAGCCGCTTTAGATTCTACAAGTGAGATCATCACAATATTGTAATGTACAGCACAAAACAATGGATATTAGTTTAGAAAATGTTACAGATTACATTTAACAATGGTATTAAATAATGAGTGTTTTTAAAAATTAACTTTTAAATGTAAACATTTTGGAAAATTGGGAAAGAGCATTAATAATTAAATATACAATATATATAAATATTCATAAATAATAAAAACAAAAAAATGTACATTTATGCATTTAGCAAGCTTAAATTTTATATTTAAAATTGTAAATATTTGTGACGAGCAACCACACAGCAGTTATTTTAGTATCAATGAGATACTGTTATAGTTTTTATCAATATTTAATTACATTTTTAATTTTAATCCATTTTAATTTTTTTGTTTTTATTTTCATTTTTTAATTTAAATTGTAAAAATTTGAAAGCATTTTTGTTGTTTCCCCCCATTTTATTAGTTTGTTTTGCTTTTTGTTTGTTTTTTAAAATGTCTAAATAGTTTTTATTAATTTTTATTTCAGTTTTATTTTTGTTGTTATGCATTAAGTCAAAATGAACTTGAGAAATGTTGCCTTGACAACTAGCTGAAATGTATTTAAAGTAAAAAAAAACAGATTTTTCATGGTTTTAGTTACTATAATATCCTCGTCACACAGCTGCATGCTTTTTTATACAACTTTATGTACAAATCTCACTCTAAACTACCCTTGTGACTTATGTTTTTTGTCATTTCGCAGGTTCTCCTCATCCTCATCACGTCCCATCAGCTTCAGTCTATCCTCCTGATCCCAGAATGCCTCATTCCAAACTACCTCACATGCAGCAGTACATACCCTCATACATGAACACCGCCACTCACTTCCCCTTCCCGTACCTGCCTCACCCAGCCTCCCCCAAACCCGCCCACACTCCCCTATCCCACATACACAGCAGTCCGTCATACTCCCTCTCGTCCCCTTCATCCGTCCCGGGCTCCCCGAGTCCCTTCAGCTCGGACGTCTCAAGTCCTGTTTCCGACGTCAACCTGATGTCTCCCCCTCCGACTCACACGCCGGCCATGTGGCCTCCTCACACTCAACCGCTGTTTTCCCTGGCAAATGTGCTGTCTATGGCCATGAGCATGGCACATTCGTTCATGCCCACGCCGAGTCTGGTACAGGCCATGCCGGGGTTCCAGCCCGGTTATCCCGCGATGTACGCGCCCCAGTATCCTCCATCTGTACCGGCGGAGGTGGCGTATAACCAAGGGATGGCCGAGTATTACCAGGCCTTGGGTTCCCAGTTTCGGGACACTGTGATGTCGTCTCCTTCCCAAGCTACTCCAACATCTGCTTCACCCAGCGGCGTCTCCGCATCCAGCCAGCAGACAGCGTCCACAGTTCCTCAAGAAGGAATGCTGTACACACAGGAATCCTCCAAGGATTATCCTCATGGATACAGACCCGTTTTCCCCAGACACTTACTGGAGCAGCGGAGCAGCCCCGGGTCTTCATCCGGACGCTCGTCTTCCTCACGAGCGAGTCCAGATAGCAGAGTAAGCCTAATTTTATTCCAGTCTGTACATTTGTTTTTAGAGCTGCAAAATAAACAGAAATAAAATCGCAAAGGCTGCGATTTAATAAAATATATGCGCTGCATGTTTCCGAGTCATGCATGATCCAGTGTTTTCAGTGGCTCGGTTTGCAGTAAACGCTGCTCCACACTCCACATCTTCACATCTGTTCTGAGTTTTGGTCACCGTAACATGCATTTAGGAACGCTGCATATGTCAATCATCTCCCAAATAGCTTATAAACCAGCTTTTTATTTTTTCAGCTTAAAATAAAAGCTGGTTTACTGTTTGAAAATGAAGAAATTAAGACTAAAATACGTTAGATATTTTTCATACTTTTCATTTTACAGTGCAATATTTATTTATTTATTTAGTCATTTATCAGATGCTTTTATCCAAAGCGACTTACAAATGAGGACAACAGAAGCAATCAATTGTGACATTAAAACAACTAAAAACAGATCCAAAACTAAAAGCTAAAACTTTATAAATACTACCTATACACATTTTAAAAATAAAGAGATTAAATAAAAATGACAAATGCATACAACAAAATTTCAAAACGTAACATTTAAATGAAAAGCAAAAAATAAAGCTAAAAACAATTCAAAATATTAATTATTTTGGTTTATTAATTAATTAATTATTAATTATTTTGGTTTATTGTTTTGTCATGTGGTCTTTTGTTCTGCCTTCTGTTTGGTTCATGTTCCTCAATATAACAAGATGTATACTTTCATTTCATAATAGTAATAATAATTATTATTATTACATAGTCATATTGATATATTTTTATTTACTTAATTTACTTTTATTGGCCAAATTGTGCAGCCCTACAAACAAGCACAGCAAACCTCGATTTTTTTTTTTCTTTTCACATTTTATTAGAAAAATCGCAATCAGATTTTTACCTCCAAATCATGCAGCCTTACTTCCTTCCCAGAAAGAGTCTGAGCAATCACTGGTCCCAAAATAACTTGTTTCAGGGATCAATATGTTACATGGAATAAAAAAAATGAGCGATGTGCATTTATGACTTTTAATTAAAATGTTATTGTTTTTTATTTAATCATGTAAATAATAAAAAATGAATCGCTTCATAAAATATTTATTTATAAATAATCATTTCATATTTTTTTTAAGTTATTTCTTTACTCCATCATTTCCATTTCCAGTAAACATATAATACAATTTTTATTAAATATATAATCATAAAAATGTGTGGATATGATAAATGATTCACAGCCTGGTTGGAACCAATGATGGGTCCGGATCTAAATCATGATACGCAAACTGGTGACCTCTGCTCTTAACATTGAGTAAATCTTTAGCTTTGCCGTGTTTGTTTCCATAGTGTTGGCAATTGTTCTGAGCATGTTTTATATGACTGAATGTCAACGGCTAACATTGCTAATGTTCCTTTGAATGTGCTCATCCTCGGTTATGAAACCCAGATGTGGAAGTATGCCTGAATAAAATGCTCTTGCGTTCTCGCCAAGGTTTCGTCATCCAGTCCTAGATCATCGTCCCCCCTGGCCACGTTAGAGACTACCAGAGCATCCAAGTGCCAAGAAATCTCGTCACCATCTGGTAAGATACTGAGCCCAAAACACAAACACCCCGACACTTTTACACACACTTATGCAACGTTACAGTTACACACGTCCTGCTACACTGAGGGCTTTCTTCTTACATAATATGGTTTTATAATGTTTAATGGTTAAAGGGTTTGTTGACATCTATTAAATATGCCGGACTCAGGGCCGGAGCTACCTATAGGCAGAGATTGCCTAGGGCCTCGGGCTTTGAGGCGGGGCCTCCATAACCATAACATTCCTATACGCCAGTTCACCAGTCAAGACAGGCAGCAAAATACGGTCTCATTGTTCATTGGATATAGTTGAGCTGTCACTCACCTGCAATTAAACCAATTAATGATGCCGTTTCAAAACGGGTCCCGCCTTCTGAATGTTTGTCGTACTAAACACATCCTTCAGCTGCTGCGAAGAAAAACGCTAAATATGCACACAAAGAAGCCCAGCTCCTAATGCAGGTTTATGAGTTGTCATCATCTATTTTGGAGTGATTGCAGTGTATTCTTAATATCTGTCGATCAGCGTCATTTCCGGATAGATCATTCACCGGTTTATTATGAGTTTAAAACAGCGCATACAATGAATGACATTGCGTCGAGAGCTGATTAGCAAAATAGCTACAAAAGTCCAAGCAAAAAAGTTTGAATTCAAAGTAAAAAAATACAAAAAACACTAGAGCATTTTTAATATTTAAAAAAATACATTACTGCACTAACATAACACTTCATTTCAGTTTCAGCTAGAAATGTCTCTTTCACTTCCACTTGATTTGTGTATATAGTGCACATTTAAGGTAGCAATGCAATACATAGTATCATATTTATTAATATTAATATTATGACAATATCTGTAGTGAATATTGGTGCCCGGCTAGGACAAAAATGATCAAAGCACTGAAGTGGTATTTAGGAACTGTGAATAAATTACTGAACAAATGACTTAATAATTACTTAATAGTAACAAATTACTTAAAAATCAAAGTCTCTTATGCTCCACAAACCTGCATTTATTTGATCAAAAATACAGAAAAAACAGTAACATTGTGAAATAGAAAAGTTAAAAAAAGGAACAGCGTTTATTTAAAATATAAATCTTTTGTAACAATACCGTTCAAAAGTTTGTAATTATATGGGTCAGTATTTATTTATTTATTTGATAAAAGAAGACTGAAGACTGGAGTAATGATGCTGAAAATTCAGCTTTGACTCACAGAAATAGTGAATTTTTACAGAAAACCGAAGATAAGTATTTTTCCTTTTTGGGTCAGTATTTATTTATTTATTTGATAAAAGAAGACTGAAGACTGGAGTAATGATGCTGAAAATTCAGCTTTGACTCACAGAAAAACTCACTTTACAGAAAACCGAAGATAAGTATTTTTCCTTTTGATTTTTCAGTTTAATGAATGCACTATATTTTGTTTCAATAGCATTGATTCTTTAATATCTTGTATTTTGAGGGGATTTCATAATACCAGATTCACCTCTAAATTATGCACCATTTATTTCTATATAAAATAATACAAATATGCATTTAAAATGTTTTGTAATGTTCAGTTAAAACAGTCAGTTATATAATTATATATATTATAATTAAATTAATTAATTAATTTAATTATTAATAATTAATCATTGATAGTTACAAGAAGTCAGACTCTCTAACATTAGGCCACGACTACCCCATTTATATATATATATATAAATGGGGTAGTATATAAAGAGTTTTGTGTGTGTGAGTTTGTACCATTCTGGTTAAGTAAAATAAATAAATACGAAATTAAAAATTCACAATGTAAAATGGCTGAAGACCACCAGATGGTTAAAAAGGCAAAATTAAGCTTTTTTTTTTCAGGATGATAACTGTATGCCACTCAAACGCAATGTGATGAGGTCATGTGACAACAGTATAACATAATTCTGCATGGTCATTATCATGCTTGAGGGGATTTTCAAGTATGTTTGCAGTCTTTTACATCTTTTTTATCACTCTTTCTCTCTCACAGAGCCAAAGCCTACTGTAACTGTGGGCCGTTTTCAAGTTTCCCCCAGCAAAGAGATTCCTGCTCCGGCCAGACACACAGACAGTGAAAACACACCCACTGAAACTCCACCTCCGGATAATCACATCAGCTCACCGGATCAAAACCTCTCCATTCTTCCTTCCTGCGAGGCTCCGCGTTATTTATTGAGTTCTGCTGACCAGCCCGAGACGGAGAACAATCAAAAAGAAGACCGAGAGGGACAAGAGCAGGATGTTGATGATGATGAAGAGACCCCTGTGGATAAGAAGTACAGGAGGAAGAAGGGACGCAGAGCGGATTGCAGCCCGGCTCTCATGGGAACGTCGGTGGACAGCGGGTTTTCTGTAGCCATGGATACAGACAGAAGAGTGTGGGATGGAAACACGGGAAGCCCTCCGTATGCCACTCCTCTCCACAACCTCTGGATGAGCCACACGCGCAGCTCCTCCTACCTGAGCAGCGACGAATCAGAGAGCGAGGATGAAGAGATGTGGGGGGAGCTACAGGAGCTGAGGGAGAAGTAAGAGACTTTTATAACACATCTGCTCATCTCTTAAAAATAAAGCTTCTCCATTGGCATCTGTGGTTCCATGAAGAACCTTTCCATATTCCACAAAAGGTTCTTTAGATTATTATAACTAAGAAAAAATAGTTCTGTAGCACTTTACTTGTAGTGTTTATTCATAATGCAATAAAAAAGTATTTGAATGCATTAATTATGTTTTTTTGTAATGCACCTTATAATGCATTGAATGATCTAATGAATAGTTGTATCAAGTCGATAGGGTCAATTGGGCTAGTTTTGTTTGGCAGACCTGGCAACCCTGCTCTAAATCCTCATTTTCTCCCTCTCAGGCATCTGTGTGAGGTTCAGTCTCTGCAGGCGGTGCAGAAGCAGGAGATAGAGGAACTGTACGCCAGAACGGGGAAGGTTCCTCCCCCCTGTATCGTATCTCCAGCCGCAATGCTCTCCAGTCGCCAACGCCGACTGTCTAAAGGAGGAAACTTCCCGTCGTCTCGCAGAAACAGCCTCCAGAGAGTCGACATTCTGCCTTTAACAGGTTAAACCGAGGTTTATGTTTCCAGATTTGAATCATATCAAAGCTTAGTGGGCTGCCTTGCTGTTTGCCACCTACACGGGCAGCTGCCTTTTAAGGGAGCATCCATACTTGCATAGCAGCTTATAAGTAAAGGATTTGGAACTAACAAGCATAAAATGCATCAAACATGTCTCTAAAATTCTTAAGAAGTATCTTTCATTGTTAGTTCATGCTAACTAATCAAGTTAAGTAATGGTAACTTAATACGCAATTTTTTAATTAAATGAAAATGGCAAATGACCGAATGAAATGTTTAATATCGTTCTTTACTGCGATTGTTCCACAGGGATCATGAGGAAAAATTCCCTGAGCGGTAACAGTAGCAGCAGTTCCCAGGAAGGTTCACGGCCGACTAAAGGAGTGACTTTCGCCGCTGATTTTACTAGAATGGTACGATACTTCTGTTGATTACAGGCATTACATTCAGCTCAGGGTTTCTAATTGGTTCCTGAAGATGCATTCTTGTAAAACAAGCCCTTGATTTCCATCACCTTTGATGGATAAACATTTTCTGCATTATTTTGATGCCATTTAGTCAAATATGAAAGAAAAACAATTAAAATATATATAGTAAAATATAATATTAATATATTAATTAATACAAACATAATATACATTTTAATTTGAATTTAATAACATTTTAAACTATAAAAAAGAATTAAAATATAACATTTAAAAAAAATTAAATGCAAGTTTTATTGTATTTTATTTATTTATTTGGCAGTAATAATGCAACATTCGTTTACCATTGCAAATAGTGCTGATATTTGTGAACATTTGAATGAAATTGAATATAAATCTAGATATTTCTGTCTTTATTGCAGAGGAACCATCATTTCTACCAGACAGAATGTTTACCAAGTAGATTCAGGATTGTTAAAAATGATCAAGGCATATATTTTTTTCCTCGTCTTTCACTAAATGAACACAAGAAAGATTTTAAAAAACATATTTTCATTCTTATGCACCAATATAATAGTTTATTGTGAGATGTTAACTAGGTGAAAATGCTACAAAGAATGAATCGATTGAAATGATTCAAAACCGCCAGTTTGAACAAATCCACAGAATTGGATCTTTCTGATTTAACAGCCTTTTTGCTATTGAAGCTTAAATCAGAGATATTAAAACATATCTGTCTTAATGCTTTAATACTCATGAAACATGGATGATCAAGCACAAACTGCACAGTAAAGTGCACAAAATGCATACATATTAGGAATATTCAACATTTCACCCAGGTTTAATTAGAAGCACATAATCTTACGATACTTAAAGGGATAGTTCACCCAAAAATGAAAATGTGATCAAATTAAACCCTGTGGTTCGTGACGATACATTGATGTGTAAAGACAAGAAACGATCGGTCTGTGCAAGAAACTGAACAGTATTTATATCATTTTTTACTTCTGATTCACCGCAATGTCCGAACTGTCTGTCCTGAGCGCGGTCCGCGTCGTCTTCTTCTTCTTCTTGCTTTACGGCGGATCACAGACTTATAAGTGCATTACCGCCACCTATCTCTCAAATGGACCATTGACACTCTATCTACAATCTCAATTAGGAGTGTCAATGGTCCATTTGAAAGATAGGTGGCGGTAATGCACTTATAAGTCTGCAATCTGCCGTAAAGCAAGAAGAAGAAGACGCGTCACGCACCGGCTGTTGAGAACGTGCTCAGGACAGTTCGGACATTGCGGTGAATCAGAGGTAAAAACGATATATAAATACTGTTCAGTTTATTGCACAGACCGATCGTTTCGTGTCTTTACACATCAATGTATCGTCACGAGCCACAGGGTTTAATTTGGTTTTGTTTCTGTATGTTTTTTTAGGACTCCCAAAGCCGTGATTCCCATTCACCTCCATTATAAGACTGACAGACTGCAACGGTTTGAGTTCAAAATCTTCGTTTGTGTTCTACTGAAGAAACAAAGTCACCTACATCTTGGATGCCCTGGGGGTAAGCAGATAAACGTCACATTTTCATTTTTGGGTGAACTATCCCTTTAAATTTGATCTATGCATAAATCAGCTCTTGGTAAACTCTTATAATGATTCTCTCTTCTGTTTCCCTATCAGTAAGAATCCTTAGCCTGGTACATTGGCGGGACTACGTACATCAGACTACCTCATCCAGTCATGACTGCTCTTACCACACCAAACTCTGAACAACCAGCCACCGAGAAACAGACACACGATCCAATCATATCCTCATAGCCTGAACTGGACAGATTGGGTTTGTAATATATAATGTACAGTTTCCTAAGCATAATATGCTGTGTGAATCCAGCGTTGGTGTCAGAAGGCGCATTTCTAGTGCAAATGCACTAATTAAGTCTGCTTAATTCTGTGAAGAGCCAATGGTTTGGCGGGACTCTGCTGTTTTATGATGCTGTGACGTTCTCTCTGAAGGCTCAGCACTGAGTTTGACTCTCGACTGTCTCTTTGCACTTTCTAAAAACCGCCTGAACCTGCTGAACGGGCAAACATCTGAATCAACAGTACACTACTGGACATCAGATGTCCTGCTGTTTCTGTTCTACTGCCTGTGTTTGCGCTGTAGAAACTCCAAATCATCACGCAATAATCAGCATGAACTCTGTAGATCCGGTCCAGAAATATTTCTACTATTATCTGATAGGGTCTCTTTTATATTCTAAATGTGAATAAAAAAAAACAAAAACAGATTTAGGGTAGGTGGGATATATATAATTTTTGCATTGATTATGCCAGCTTTGAGATTTTCATCCATGGAGATGTAGAACTTCTTAACCTTGAAGTCTATGTTTATATACATTTACATACATATATATATTTTATTGTCTTTTATCAGTCTGAATGTGACTGACCTAATATGGTGATGTTAAAGGAATAGTTCACTGAAAACATACTCATCCTTAGGTTGTCCAAGATGTAGATGAGTTTGTTTCTTCATCAGATTTGGAGAAATGCAGCATTGCATCACTTGCTCAGCAATGGACCCTCTGCAGTGAATGGGTGCCGTCAGAATGAGGTTTACAGAAGGGACAGTTTACAGTTAAAATGTCTTGTCATGGATTTGTTTCTTACAAACACACAGCTTTTCACTTCACAAGATGTTAACTGATGGACTGGAGTGGTGTGGATTGCTTGTGGATTATTGTGATGTTTTTATCAGCTGTTTGGACTCTCATTCTGACGGCACCCATTCACTGCAGAGCATCCATTGGTGAGCAAGTGATGGAATGCTGCATTTCTCCAAATCTGATGAAGAAACAAAATCATCTACATCTTAGGTGGCCTGAGGATGAGTACATTTTCAGCAAATTTTCATTTATGCATGACATATTCCTTCAATATACGAATTGCACCAAAAAGCAAGAATCGGCCATAAAGTTCAAGACGGATGCAAAATGCACACTGCACTTTGGTGTGAAGTTCAAAGTCCCATTTGTGACGCTACAGTAGAGTCATTAATAAATTATTGATTGCCGATGTTTACAAAGGGCAGTCAATAAAAGTGCATTCGTTATCTTCATTGTAATATTAACACAGTATGATCAGATTTTCCACAAAGGCCAACATTTATGCTTTCTGTAGTTTTAGTGTGGAAACATTATGTACAATATATGGTGAAATCACTGTTTATTTCATGATGAACTTATGAGATACCGACATGCATATTAAAGAGGGATTCAGAATATGAATGAGCAGAAATAGATGTTATTTACAGTAAAGATTTTAATGTATAAAAAAAAATTGGCTTTGTGCTTTCAGTTGGGTTTCTGTCTTGATGCATTACACCTTTCCATGAGTTTGAGGGTCATTGTCATTGAATATGACAACCTAAGATCCATTCACGGCTCATTAAAAACTGTGAAAAATCATATGAATGCCTTTATATGTGCAGTGAACAAGAAAATCAGCTACAGACACAAACACAGCCAATGTGTTTTAGATTGAGAGAAATGTGACTTCATGCTTCATTATACTGATCGCTTCGATGTACAATGCAACACTTCCATGCTGTGCCTTCTCTATCTTATGATGATAATGTAGTATCTTCTAAATCATATTTGTACATTAAAGTCAATAAATATATAGATGACTGTGGGTTGAGTATTCATTTTAGACACTGCAGTATCATTTTATTGTGTGTCCATAAAAAAGACAAACATAAACAAAACTTTCTTTAAATTAATCTCACTCTGATTATGTATTTGCACTCAAAGCAATATATCAGCAGTAGCAGAATTACTGTAGTAAGTATTCATATTCATAATAAAACAAGGAATATGACGACATTCAGTCTCCACTAACATATTCCATGAACTGCATCCCAGAAACACATTTTTATAGTAATCCTGTAGAATTTAGCTTTGGCAAAAACGAAGGATTTCTCCTTATATCGGTTAAATATTGAGTCTTGGGTTGAATAGGAGACTTTAAACCAGGGCTGGGTAACTTCGGTCCTGGAGAGTTTAGCTCCAACCCTAATCAAACACACCTGAACAAGCTAATCAATGTCTTCAAGTTCACTAGAAAGCTACAGGTGGGTGAGTTTGATCAGGGTTGGTGCTAAGTTACCCCGCCCTGGTTTAAATAGATGTGGCGCCCTCTGCTGGCGTCATCTGCGTCATGCCAGTTTTGTCAGGCTCCTGTTGTCAGTGTAGACACTTCCTGAAGATAAAGTTCATTCAGTTCAGTTGGCTCCGGTCTTCGGAGCCTGTAGTTTTGCAGCTCTGGCTTCTTCATCTATTTCATCCATGACTCTTTCTTGGGATACGGAGTAGAAAGTGTAGCCATCTGTGGAGGCTGGTGAAGGCAAATAGATATCTCAACAGTCTGACGAGAGATAAAGGGATAGTTCACCCAGAAATTAACGTTCTATCACACAAAAGACATTTTGAAGAATGTTGCTGGTAACCATTGACTTCATTTTTTTTTCCATACTATAGAAGTCAATGGCTACCAGCAACTGTTTGGTTACCAACATTCTTCAAAAGATCTTTTGTGTTCACCAAAAAAGAAAAAAAAAGCAAGCCATACAGGTTTGGAACACCTTGCGGGTGAGTAAATAACAAAATTGTAATTGCTGGGTGAACTATCCCTTTAATTCTGGTAATACTTAATTTGTACATCCCCCTCATTAAAAGTTATCTGGTCTTTACCTTCTCAAAATGCTTTTTCTGAAATAAGCTTTTTCTAATATTATTTTTAAAAGGAAATAAATGGTTTAGTATCATAAAATCCACTCAAAATACAACATATTGAAGTAAAACTATTATGGGAAACAAATATAGTCATTTTCATTAAAAAGGTTAAACTTCTAGTGTTTGTTTTGACCTGCTAACAGTACAAGTGTAACCTATTAGTTAACAGCACCAGTAAACATATTGAAGAGTTTGACTTGCTCATGTGACTCCAGCACGGGTCACATTGGCTGATCGTGTAATAACACGCTAACTGAACTAATATTGCTATCATTCATCATCATAGCCGTGCAGAACATCATCACTAGCTCAGCAGGTAGTCAATGGCTACCAGCAACTGTTTGGTTACCAACATTCTTCAAAAGATCTTTTGTGTTCACCAAAAAAGAAAAAAAAAGCAAGCCATACAGGTTTGGAACACCTTGCGGGTGAGTAAATAACAAAATTGTAATTGCTGGGTGAACTATCCCTTTAATTCTGGTAATACTTAATTTGTACATCCCCCTCATTAAAAGTTATCTGGTCTTTACCTTCTCAAAATGCTTTTTCTGAAATAAGCTTTTTCTAATATTATTTTTAAAAGGAAATAAATGGTTTAGTATCATAAAATCCACTCAAAATACAACATATTGAAGTAAAACTATTATGGGAAACAAATATAGTCATTTTCATTAAAAAGGTTAAACTTCTAGTGTTTGTTTTGACCTGCTAACAGTACAAGTGTAACCTATTAGTTAACAGCACCAGTAAACATATTGAAGAGTTTGACTTGCTCATGTGACTCCAGCACGGGTCACATTGGCTGATCGTGTAATAACGCACCCACGTGTAGTAACACGCTAACTGAACTAATATTGCTATCATTCATCATCATAGCCGTGCAGAACATCATCACTAGCTCAGCACGTTCTGTAATGTAATGTAACGCACTGTACTGCTGCCATAACCTTGTGTAACAGAGCTGTAAAGGATACAGATGCCGAGAACTACAGCGCCTATAGCGAGTCCTGTCGCAACGTTTCGTCCCCGGAGCTTGACTGCTTTCTTCTTCCACTGCGCCAGCTCCACTTGTCGGATGAACTGCAGCTGTTCCCTGGTCAGAACTTCCTTTGCAGGATCTATTCTCTTTGCAAACTGGGATTCAGGTTTGGGCTCCCCTTGACTACTCTTGTCCGCCATGTTTGAAGCGCTGTTTTCGTGACGTAACACGGTTATTTTGCAAATCAATGCTGCGTCGATTTTGCGCAGTCCGTCTTTCTTTTTTATTTTTTTTGCAATGTCTGCGCAGCCCGTCGCTTTACAAGTTGTTGAGGGGAATAATTTGATGCAAGTTTACATGTAGCTTTATTAATTATTTAGTTTATTTTACATCAACTAATTTTAATTAATCTTTGACCAGCTGACTGTGAAGCGTGATTGTTGAACTGGCAGCATATGTAGATAAGGTCAGGTATAAATACAATAAAATTAATTACTTCAGTTATTGTAGTGATGTTATATTTCTTGTATTCCTGCATATTGTATTTGGGGTCTATGACCACAGCCCTAGAAGAAATGTATTCATAAAAAAAAAAAAAGCCACTTTTAAACAACCAATACGTTGATGGTGTTATCACGTGGTTTCTGCTACTTTTCTCAACGCCTCTCAGAATTGGCCAATCACAGTCGTCGTTAAAATTTCGAAAAAATAATTTATTTGGAATTCCTCTCGAATATATTTGCATGTCTTGTTATAAAGTCTTAAAAATTATACATCAGCATATAAAATAAAATAAAAAATAAAACGTGCTGATATTTAAACAAGCTTCGTGAGGGGATTTGGCTTTCTGGAGCAAAACGAACATTTCCAACACGATTAATCTTTACTAACAAATGGCGGGAAGTACTATGTTTTCACTGCACACCAGAGAACCGCTGAACCCGAGGTTTGGAGAGGTGTCTTTAGACATTTTAACCGATATTCTGTCCAACCTCAACAACAGAAACAAATCCAACTTGGAGAGCGTGTCAGATTTCTGTGGATGTCTGAAAGAAAGGAGGATAGTGGGTGAGTGTTGTTGGCTTTAAACTAATGTTAGCATATAATGTTAGCTAGTGTGATATGTCAGGGGTTTGGTATCAGATGGCAGTACCACAGTAATGTGAAGCATACTGTAATATGTTAGTGAATGATTTAAATATTTATAAACAATGTTCATAACATGACTTTGTGGTCCACTGATATATCGCCAAGCCAAGGCCGATATATCGCAGATGTATTCAAATAATCGGCCCCATAACTTTTCCTGTTTGACAGATTATTGTGGCAAGAGAGACTTTTATTTTGATGTAAATAATGATAGTAATGTAAATAACAATGTTTAATTGTTTTAGCAAACATAACTATTATGATAAGGGTCATTCCGTACCAAATCAACCAAATTTCAGAAACTTTCCCGGCTCAAATTTGAGATTTTGTCAATATTTTTTTAAGCCAAAATATTAAATGTCAGATGTATATTTACTGAGTAATCCACTGTTTTGTCACCTGAGATTCGGCAACAAGCTACAATTATAGTTTCAACATTATTTCTTCTTTAGATATTCCCCTTTAAATACAATAAGTATCAGCTGTATACACAAAGTGACCAACATTTGTTTTTCGACCACTGAAAATGGGTAATATTCAACAATCTGCACATGGAGCCGAATTGAAATCCCCATATCTCTGGGACTGAACTATAAAGGGCCTTGAAAATGAAGATTCAAAAAGAAAAGTTTATTAGGAATACAGTATATCTAAAATAATCAAAAAGAATATTGAGATAAATTTAATACTACTTGAGTGACATGCACACAACTTTAGAAAAAGTATATTTATGGCACTCGGACAGGTATGTTCTACGCTATTATTTTGATAGATGGGAAACCAGATACATTTCTAGTTTCAACATTATTTGTTCTTCAGACCTTCCTCTTTAAAAGAAAAAAAAGTATCATCTGTATGCAAAGTGACCCACATTTGGTTTTCTTGACCACTGAAAATGTGTACAATTCAACAATTTCCTCCTGGAGCCATATTGCGATTCCAATATTGCTGTGGGTTTGATTAGGGTTGGAGCTAAACTCTGCAGGACAGTGGCCCTTTAGGACCGAAGTTGCCCAGCCCTGATATAGAGCCTTAAAAATGAAGATGCCAAAAGGAAAGTTTGTTAAGACCCAAAATCTTAAAGGGCATTAAGATATCTTTAAAACTTCTTGATTTACAGGGATGCAAACTTTGGAGAAAAAACTTGAAAAGTGCTTTTTTTCCATTTTTGAATGGTCACCACTGGCATTTAATGCAACAAAGATTGCTCAAGTCAACCGATTTTACTAATAGACCAACCAATCTCTGTGTAAAAATAACATAATGATGCTGCCATCTTTCTGAAGTAATTTTACCCCCCTGTAATTTGGCTCCGAATCTCAGGTGAAAATTGTCATTTTGAAAAACATAGATATTAATGTGTTCCATATGTGTAGTATTTAGCCTAAAAATACAATGATAAGACTATTGTAAGACTATCATTGCAATGACGTCATGTCTGAAATGTACTGTAATACTAATATGCTGATACGTTTATGTTCATGTATTATCACCCTTGTTTATTCGGTCCGCAGAGTGTGTGTTTCATCTCTGTGAGGAGCTGGGACTGAATCCTGCGGTTGGATACCAGGCAATCGAAATACTGGAGAGGTAGTTTAAAGAATCTTGAAAGAGCATTATTCACTGTAAACCTGTTTAAAACAACTTCCCTTTGTCATGCTCTAGGTTTATGGCCAAATATATTGAACATCTAATCCGCAGCCAGAAAGGTCAAGTAGGATCATCTGAGGACACAGGAAAATTTGAGGAGCTCATCTTCCAAACACTCAAGAAGAAGTTCTTTCTCTCCATCCTCTCAAGCGTTCAGATAGCCAGCAAACTGGACCTGTACTCCAACGTATGTTTATTTCATAAATTAGAACGTAACGAACATTCCATGCGTTATGTGATCAGTTCTATTTGTGTTTTGTCTAGGTTGTTAACAATGACATTGCCATGAGATTTCTGCAGGCAGTTGGTTACCCTTGCTCCAAAGAGCAGCTCTTGGACTCTGAGATTCTCGTTTTAAAAACTCTCAACTTTAATTTAAATGTCCCAAATCCTTTAACATACGTGGAGACCCTTTTGGAAGTGCTGGGTAAGTAGTGTGTTTCTCAGGTATCCGCTATAAATTTAGATCGCACATAACTCAAATGGTCTTAATCACTGTGTTTTGTGCATTTACACCGTACCAAATCAACCAAATTTCAGAAACTTTCCCGGCTCAGATTTGAGATTTTGTCAATATTTTTTTAAGCCAAAATATTAAATGTCAGATGTATATTTACTGAGTAATCCACTGTTTTGTCACCTGAGATTCGGCAACAAGCTACAATTATAGTTTCAACATTATTTCTTCTTTAGATATTCCCCTTTAAATACAATAAGTATCAGCTGTATACACAAAGTGACCAACATTTGTTTTTCGACCACTGAAAATGGGTAATATTCAACAATCTGCACATGGAGCCGAATTGAAATCCCCATATCTCTGGGACTGAACTATAAAGGGCCTTGAAAATGAAGATTCAAAAAGAAAAGTTTATTAGGAATACAGTATATCTAAAATAATCAAAAAGAATATTGAGATAAATTTAATACTACTTGAGTGACATGCACACAACTTTAGAAAAAGTATATTTATGGCACTCGGACAGGTATGTTCTACGCTATTATTTTGATAGATGGGAAACCAGATACATTTCTAGTTTCAACATTATTTGTTCTTCAGACCTTCCTCTTTAAAAGAAAAAAAAGTATCATCTGTATGCAAAGTGACCCACATTTGGTTTTCTTGACCACTGAAAATGTGTACAATTCAACAATTTCCTCCTGGAGCCATATTGCGATTCCAATATTGCTGTGGGTTTGATTAGGGTTGGAGCTAAACTCTGCAGGACAGTGGCCCTTTAGGACCGAAGTTGCCCAGCCCTGATATAGAGCCTTAAAAATGAAGATGCCAAAAGGAAAGTTTGTTAAGACCCAAAATCTTAAAGGGCATTAAGATATCTTTAAAACTTCTTGATTTACAGGGATGCAAACTTTGGAGAAAAAACTTGAAAAGTGCTTTTTTTCCATTTTTGAATGGTCACCACTGGCATTTAATGCAACAAAGATTGCTCAAGTCAACCGATTTTACTAATAGACCAACCAATCTCTGTGTAAAAATAACATAATGATGCTGCCATCTTTCTGAAGTAATTTTACCCCCCTGTAATTTGGCTCCGAATCTCAGGTGAAAATTGTCATTTTGAAAAACATAGATATTAATGTGTTCCATATGTGTAGTATTTAGCCTAAAAATACAATGATAAGACTATTGTAAGACTATCATTGCAATGACGTCATGTCTGAAACGTACTGTAATACTAATATGCTGATACGTTTATGTTCATGTATTATCACCCTTGTTTATTCGGTCCGCAGAGTGTGTGTTTCATCTCTGTGAGGAGCTGGGACTGAATCCTGCGGTTGGATACCAGGCAATCGAAATACTGGAGAGGTAGTTTAAAGAATCTTGAAAGAGCATTATTCACTGTAAACCTGTTTAAAACAACTTCCCTTTGTCATGCTCTAGGTTTATGGCCAAATATATTGAACATCTAATCCGCAGCCAGAAAGGTCAAGTAGGATCATCTGAGGACACAGGAAAATTTGAGGAGCTCATCTTCCAAACACTCAAGAAGAAGTTCTTTCTCTCCATCCTCTCAAGCGTTCAGATAGCCAGCAAACTGGACCTGTACTCCAACGTATGTTTATTTCATAAATTAGAACGTAACGAACATTCCATGCGTTATGTGATCAGTTCTATTTGTGTTTGTCTAGGTTGTTAACAATGACATTGCCATGAGATTTCTGCAGGCAGTTGGTTACCCTTGCTCCAAAGAGCAGCTCTTGGACTCTGAGATTCTCGTTTTAAAAACTCTCAACTTTAATTTAAATGTCCCAAATCCTTTAACATACGTGGAGACCCTTTTGGAAGTGCTGGGTAAGTAGTGTGTTTCTCAGGTATCCGCTATAAATTTAGATCGCACATAACTCAAATGGTCTTAATCACTGTGTTTTGTGCATTTACACAGGCCATAATGATGCAAGTGTCCCTGTTGCTCAACTACATCACCTGTGTGTGCGTGTACTGCAGTTCATTTACCTGCAGAGGGAGACAATCTACAACTCATTGCTCAAATCTGCCACTGGATGCTCCAGTCCTTCCCATGAACAAAGGTAACAGGGTTTTATTAATTTTCCCCATTGACTCTCTCTACTAATGTTTTTAAAGGTGAAGTATGTAATTTTGGTTCAGATGCTTTCTCCTTCCAGCTTAATGTGTAGACAAAACTACAAATATGCCATTCCTGTGGCCTAGTGACCACTGAGTTGAATTAGTTTGAACAAAGTGGTTGTTTGGGTTCAAGAATATAGATTGTGTTCATTGTCGTGGTAACTTGTGCTACATAGCTAACCTGGTCCGGAGCAGGTTTTATTCTGGTAAGAGATCACAAACCTAAACTGGACCAATCAGCTGTGAGCAAAGTGACATATTTCAGATGCAATGAAACCACTACCCCTGGATCTCTTGCTCAAATTAAACCACTTAAAAAAAATGTAGAGATTTAATTGTCCAGCTTTTGCTGCTAACACACACACACATATATATTAGGGGTGTAACGGTACACGTATTCGTACTAGTGTTGTCACGGTACCAAAATTTCAGTATTCGTAACACCAGCATGGGGTTTCGACTTTGACACGTGCAGTGCTCATGTTTATTCAATGAAGTCAAAGCCTTTTGGAAAATCTATTTGTGGCGGTCAGTTTTGATATTGTGGCGGGCCGCCACAAATAAATCAATGTATGGAAAACACTGAGAAGATATAAATATTAAAAATTAAAATGAAACTTACCTGCTTGAACTCTTTCATTTGTTCTGGGTGTCTTTAAAGTGTTTTGTTAGTTTAGTGTGTTTCCTCTTTTTGATGTCGCCACGTCTCAGTGCTTTTATGAAGAGAGCGCATCTGCGCACCTTTCGGATAGCGCATCAAGAACCGGGTTGACCGGGTACTCGGTACCACCGGTACTTAAAAAAACCTGGTACCGTAACGTTTTAATTTTTTTAGTACCGAACCCGACTTGGTACCGAAGTACCGGGTCTTTTGACAACACTAATTCTTACCGGAAATTTTCGGTACGAGTCTTTCGGTTCGGTACGCATGTGTACTGAACAAATACAGTGTTGTTTTAACCACTGCACGAGTGGAACTTAATTGAAAACTTCCAGTGTTATATATTGTACTTTTGATAAGAAACAAAGTCTTATCTTTCAAATTATGTCCTTTTTTCAAGAAATTCAAACAATAAATGCTGTTTTGATGCTCTTTGATGCTGCGCAACTGGTCGCTGTATAAACGCCTCGGCTCAAACGGCAGCGCGATCATCTCTTCCTCTGTACTACTAGTTTTAACGCGAAATAAACATGAAAGAACATCTCATGCCTCATGTAATCGCTCAATCAGCGTTTCAACCGCAGAAAGACGTCAATAAAACAGTTTGTAAACAAAATGTCACAAAGCGTTTCATTTACTTTACCTGTTAGTGATGTCTTAATTATTTACTGTATGTTTAAATAAATCTGTTATGAAACGAGTTATGAGAGGCACTGTGTAAATGAATATATTTCAACAACAAATATAATTTTTATAATTTAGAAGTTAATTTAAAAACTGCATTATGTGCAATTTACGTGTTTGCATAATTTTTATTTTTTTAAGTTGAGTGTTGCTTGTTATATTTAAAAATAAATAGTAATTAAATTGAAGTTTGGGCTCTGTAGTTAATTGTATCCTTAGGCCAAATGTAAAAGGGCTCACTATAGTTTAGAGCATAGTTTAGAGAAAATTTGAGTTATAACTGAATTTATTTAAAGAAAGAGTAATTTGTTCAGTAAACCTCTATTAAAAAAACAAAACACCATTTAGGTGAAACTCAGAATTTGTTTAACTAGCTTTGAGTAACAGGCCACTGAAAAATGCAAACGCTGGCACTTTAAAATATTTCTCAGGTCTAACTTTTGGTTCAACCAATAATATGAGTTTCAGGTGAGCGACGCCTATCAACATGATAAATTACCTCCACATAGCATTACCCACAACTCTCTACCATCAGCGGTGTGTATTGTGCTCACATTATGTAAATCTAGTTAATAAATTTGCTGTTTGGTGGTGCGTGAATTACACAGTTCACCTTCAACAAGGTCATAACTCATTCCGAGGTAAACGTCACACTGTTTTATGGTTAAACCTGCCATAGCCATAGGAATAGGAAGTATATTTTGTGTTTGTAACAGAGCCAAGTTTGTGTCGGTGACCGAGGACTTCATGCTTCTGGGAGTGGGAGTCATTGCTGTGGCCGCCTTCATTCATCATATCTCAACATGGGAAAAGGTACAGCTCCTGAATCTAGATCATGATTCTGTCAGTCACCGTGAAGTGTATTTAAATATTTATTACTTGCTTCAAACGTGCCAGTCTCAAAGGATTCTAGTGAGTTTGGTTCATGTGTGGTGCAGGTAGTGGAGGAGCTGACAGGAATAACAGGGATTTCAGGCCAGAGTATCATGGACTTTGCGTATGTCACCCTGATGCACATCACCAAGACCAAATCCGTCTGATGCTTTTATGTGTTGAAGTCAGAAATATGACATGTGAAGAACAGATTACAGCTAGAGTACAGATATAAGACATATATAAGGTGATAACATTGTAAATATAAGGTCCATATAAGATTTCGCTCAAAATTATCTTGTAAACGTACAATGTAAAGATAAAACATGAAAATGAAAGAGGAACTTGCCATTCACATTTCATTATGCAATGATTTCTTCCCATCGCACTTCTTCACAATGAGCACACAATCTTAAACAGATAAAGAAATTCAATAATATTTTCTACTGTATCTAGTAAAATAAGTCAATTACATAAAGTAGATTGTTCTCATTAGAATCCAAAAAAATAAGTTGGTTGGTTAAGTTAGTTTGACAAGTTGTGTCCCAAATGATGACACTCTTCACGTAATTGGTAATTAAAGCTGTGACTGTTGAGTGCATGAAGTGGCCAACATTCCACACTTCTTTCTTTTCAGTTAATTAAGTGCATCATCCAGGCTTTTGAGGTGCAATGGCATAGAAGAATGCGTAAGTGTGCTAATTGGGAAGTACAAACAGTCTTAATTAGCATAGAGGTCAGCTGGCCCCTGCTTTCAGTCTTTACTCTTTTATAAGACCTCAGGGCAAGATCCAAGATGGTGATTGTTGTTATACAAGCTTTAACGTAGTATTGTTTCATTTTACCATACTAAGCCTTGGTCTGGCAGATTCTTAGGCAGCACTGCATGTCTTCCTAATGGAGAAGGAAATCCCATAATACATTTCAACAAGATCAGTGGAAAAATGAAAACCTAGATGGTGGATGAAGCAAGTGAAATGCTGATATTATTTGCAAAAAGTAGTTAAAGTAGTGATGAAACGTAAGTAGCAACGCTTCTTTTCTTCCGTATTGTGACGTACATTCAAGTGTAACGGATTATTGAACAAGAAAAAATGTAGGGCGGGGACTTGGTTCTATCCATCGATTGTTGATTGGATGTTGAGATGTGGGCGTGGTGCACATGAGTTTACAGGGGTGGAATTAAGCAGACTAAATGATCAGCATGCGTCACCAGAGAGAAGTCTGGAGTTTCACTGCAAGATCCAGTTATGACATTTAAACATTACAAATATTTAAAACAATGAAACATTTATTGTTCACAGTAAAATCTGTAACAGCATGTTAAAAATAGGGTTAATTCTCATTTCATGCCAACTTTATAATTAAAAACAGACTGGTAGGATTTGAGTTGGACTCGGGTGTTTTTAAAAGGATAAATTATTGACTTTTAAAGTGCATGCAAATGCACATACTGTTAGCTCATCCAATGATGTGACTTTGGGGTGATTAGTGGCAAAGGGGAGTGTGCTTGAAACTTGTCTGAAAACAGTCATTATTTTTGCATTTGTGTTTGATGTCTCTGCACTTCATCTTAAAATATGACCTACAGAGACAACAGTGGCAATTATCTTACTGGAGCAAGTTTTAGAGTAACCATGTCTATTTAAAAAATGGTCCTTTTATTTAGCTTTCTTTGGCTCTGGAGAGACACCTCTTGACTCTTGTGTTACTTATCAAGCAAATAAGGGAAGATGGAGAGTCTCTGCCCAAAAATGTGTCTTGTCCGATGGTCCACAGCTTTAATTATGTGAACTAAAACTTTGTATGTTTTCTAAAATGTAGTATAAAGTATAAACACAGTATAGGTGCATTATATGGCCAGTGATCATAACAGTACAAGTGGTATCATAAGGTAGAAATCTGCAAAAATATCATGAGGCATAATAATAAACATTGTAAATGTGCAGGTTATTGTACAGCGAAGTATATAAAAAAAACTGCAAGCAAAAAGAGATGACTTGGTGTCTTTTCCCCAAATCATTATTTACCAAAATATAGCCTATTTGGTAAACCATAATTTACCAGCTTTTATATATCAGCCTAATTTTCTTTTTAAAAATTAGGATTTATCGGTTACGTTTGCCATTAAATTACAGATATGACTGCCAATATTTTGTGTGTCCTTACAAATTTAAGATTTATTTGAATTATCAAATTAAATGGATTTTATATAACACCTTATGTTTGGGGGAAAAGTGTGCAGATCAAAGAATGACTATTATTGCATGCATAAATGTCTGTGTGAGCAGTATTGCTGTGCCATATGATAAACGTGTGAAAAATCGGACAGCACTTACTGTTGAGTGGTGCTGGGTATTTCCTCCTTATGGATCTTCCACGGATCCTCATGTTGTTTCAAGGTGTCCATATCTAATAACAGCAATAGATACACTATTTAGAGCAGAAAAAGCAGATCTTCTGAAAAGAAAACAAAAGGCTCTCCTAGAAACTCTATATACTAAAATATTAGTTTTTTCCTATATTTTGTGCTCAGTGTGTTGATCTTTGTTTTTCTTGTCTCTTATTCCTCCAGCAGGTTTCTAGATTAATCATCCATTAGTTACTAAGACAGTGTCCTACAACAACAGAACTAAGGAGGGCCCGTTTACATTAAACAAACATCTTTTTTATTTTACCTTTTTTGTGTTGCTGAAATTGTGTGTTTACTGTTTGTGGTTATTGTTAAGATAAGGTGAATAGCGCCCCCTGCGGCAACACGTTTCAAACAATGGTGTAGTGGTTATTTTCACCAACAGAAGGGGCTACAAGCTGCGGTGTTACTTGACTGCTTCTTAAGTCTTGTCTCTAGTTTTGTGTTTTGTTAGGGTCCTTGTCACTTCTTGTAGCATGAGACACTACGACCCAATCAGGTTTGCACAGGTAGTCCAGCTCCTCCAGGATGGCATGTCAATACGTGCCGTCGCAAGGAGGAACCTATTATTATCCTGAGGAAACCTTTTATGCTGAAATGGCGAGTGGACATGTTTGTAGCGCCGACAGGTATTTATTTATTTATATTTCATGTATTTTTTTTTTAATTTTATTATGTTTTTTTTTTTTTATGTGAAACCTTAATAGAGGCTACAGGATATTATAAGGAGGAAGATGTAATGATATGTAAGATATATAATAATATTAAAATACAATTATAAATAAACTTAAAAAAATAAGTAATTTTAAAAGTTACTTATAACACCATTTCAATCCTATATAGCACTATCAAAACATGGTTCTTTATAGAGTTCTATTAAGGATTCCTTTTAGCACCAAAAAGGGTTCTGCTATTGTTACAAGATGAAGGACCCCAATTTTTTACTGTTTAGAACCATTTTTCGCAGTCTACTTACAAAGTTGATGTATTTCATATCCTCTGATTTCTTGACGAACTTCACTGCCACCTGATCAACAAAAGAAAGAAGAATTTGATTTGTGTGAGAAATATTTTCAATTAACGTGTAGAGGTCATATCATTGCAATCATTAATACAGACATGTAAAGTTTGTAAATATAAATTCCAAGCATGAATAAAAAACCCATGTAGAGTATATTTGGTTCATCTGACAATTTAAAAAGGTCAATTGCTCTAAACACTGGACATAACATACACTAGAAGGACTTCAATGCGAAATTGCATTTCCTTTTAAATGCAAAGGGATGAAGATAAGAAATTACTAGCTAAGTTAAATAAACAAATAAAAAAGATACCTCAAGGTCTCCAAGTCCTCTTTGACCCAGCATATTGCCGACTTCATAGTAGGAAAAGATGTCTATAAAAGATAAATAAGAGTATTTGACATTAAAAATCAAGCAGTGACATGTTCTACAGAGCGGCGTAGTCCATCTAAAACTATTAAACATTTTTTTACATCTTATATTACACATGCAATTTTATAAGCTCAAACGAATTGAAATTAGAATTTTTTTTATTAGAAGTAAAACAAACTTGCTTTATATGATTTTTTTTTTTTTACATAAAAACTTAAAATTCACAATCATCAACTACCCATTAAGTGCATATAAAAACAAATTGAGTATAAACTTTTAAAGTGCAAATTAATGACTGCTTCATACCTGAGCAAGGATCAAACAAGGCCCTGGTAAGTTCTTCGTACCTCGCTTAATACATCTGAGATGATTCGAAAGATGCCAGATCTTCTAATCATGATAAATGGAGTGTAGCATTAGTTCTGGCAGGTCACATTAGTCAAGCCTCAGCTGATCCACGTCTACCTATAGGAATACGACGCTAATCATAATTCCCTTTATAAGGTCCTTTCAGTCATTATTCAGCAGCTATCGCTTTGCTCAGGAGCTAATCACCCACCTCCATCCCCAGCTCCTCCTCTCGTCCAGTCAGGACTTGGCATTGGATATTTCTTCTTAATTCTTGACCACTGAATTATGTTGATATATAAAATAATCACTTAGAACATTGATGATATCTGCTACATTAATCATTAATGTTGGTTCTGTTCAGTTTACCCTGGGGGGGTATTTATGCTCTCCCTGCTCCTATCCATGCTAGGCTGAATGGATGGGCAGGGAGTGTTGCCCAGAACAGAACCATACCCCCAACCTAAAATGTATGCTAATTGTAAGTTATCTTTGACGATAGTGGTACTGACAGAACTGATCTCTTGCTAATTTGGTTCTTCAAACGAATCTGCGGATCTGATTAAAATATCTGGATTAAGTTGTCTAAGATTACTGTGCGTTCTCGTGTTCCCCGTAAAGGGCAGATGCATCGATACTCAAAACCACGATCAGCAATGCAGCGATTGGCTGTGGCAAGACGGCAACGTAATGACATCATATAATTAAAAAAGACACCTGACGAAAAACTTGACAAATTTCTGGACATTTATAAGTAAACAGCCAAGTGAACAAACCTGCATAAATGTTATAATAGATAAATTAAATGTGCACTGTTTTACATGATTCCCAATTATTTATATTCACGATTTCTAGTATTTGTACAGGCTTTACAATTTTATTTCGATGTTGTAATTAGCAATCCATGTAATTTTATTTTTGAAGCAGATTTGTTATGTGACAGCATTAATTAAAGTTTCTTAAGGGTCAAGATCATGTTAACTGCATCTCCTGTGCTCCATTCCCATAATAGCTGCGCATTTTACTGAGGACAGCTTCCACAACACGAGGGAGTACAGTGCCGGATTCGCCAAAAGCTTTTGTTGAAAGACGGAGCAAGGGGTGTGGCAGTACTGAAACACCGTCTAAGCTGTTCGCCAATCACAACACGTTCATCAAAGCCGGAACTAATCGAGCCGTTTTTGCCAGGCTGTGGAGAAAGGTATTTTAATAAAGTAAATTATGTGAAAAATAATGCGTTTTTCG